GGGATGACACGACCCTGTACCACAGCGACCTCTATAGGGATGACACGACCCTGTACCACAGCAAGGGTCTGTTTGGTTCGCTTTCTGTAGAAGTGTCCTCATTCTTGGTTGCGAAAACCTAGTTAAACTAGCTTGGGAGGCAGCGCACCTCAGTTTTACTGCTGTCCTTTTAGGATAGGAACCTAACGATGTTTTTGTTGTGAGTTTCCACTGAGTCTGAGTGTGCAGAGTAGAACTGCTCCATACAGTTTTCAAGGCTGTGACCTTTTGGAAGCAGATCACCAGGCCTGTCGTCTGAGGCACCTCTGGGTGCGTTAGAACTGCCAACCTTTGCACACCCTTACTATTTCATTCAAGTTCGTGTTCATCAACTTGGTCAGCTAGAGTGAAAGTCAACATGTTAAAATGTTATCTGAGACAAGAGATGTAGGCCATCCTTGTGTTATATTTCACATCTGCTCATAAATACATCTGTAGGGTAAAAAGAATTAAAATGTATTGAAAGATCAAAAATGAGCAGTAGAGTTGCTGACCTGTTCCACTAGACATCTCATTTCACGTCCAGCTCTTTGCCTGGGGGCCTGGAGCAGGTGGAGGAATCACCCTTCACTGAACAAGCCCACGTGCAGGAAATTGTGCTAGGCCTGTTATGTGTATCATCTCATTTAGTCCCACCAACAGCCCTGGGATGAGGGCACTGTTAACATCCTCAATTATCAGAGAAGATGCTCAGAGAGGTTAAGGAACTTGCCCAGAGTGACACAGCTGCTGAAGAGCCTCAGCTCTCTTGACCTCCACAGAATCATCTTTCTGCTGCCCTGGGATGTAAGCAAATGTTTCTTAAGCCAACTTTCTCCTGGCCTCCTTTGAAACTTGTTCTGTCCTCAAGGGCTAGAATTTACAGCAGCATTAAAGCCGTTTGGCCTTAAATTTCTCTCCACCAATTTTCCTTACTTCCACATTGCCTCTGGACACTGTTTCCCTTAGGTGTAAGTGGGGGCTTTGGACACCCCTGCGACTTTTCTGATCAGTCAGGAGCCCAGTTGCTTCCAAACTCTGAATAAATTGTTTCCCTCTATGTATTTGAAGGAGCCCTGGTGGCATTAAGGTTAAGCACTCGGCTGCTAACCGAAAGGTTGGCAGTTTGAACCCACCCGGTGGCTCTATGAGAAAAGAGCTGGCGATCCTTCTGTAAAGATGACAGCCCAGAAAACCATATGGGGCAGTTCTACTGTCATGGGCAGTCGCTGTGAGTTGGAATCGACTCAACAGCACCCGACACCATCTATGTATTGTAGTTTTGTAGTTCTACTGATGTCCTTACAACCCAATTGCTGTATGTCTGATTTTATAATTGACAGAACCTAAAACTCAGATATACTCTCTCCTTTCATCCTCTGCAACCTTGGTTCCCCGAGACCTCCTGCCCCTCAGAGATCTGGGGAAACAGGAGCCCTGAGCCTCTTTTCCTGCCTCTGTCTCCTTCCTTCCTGCTGCCCCTGAGGGCTATTCCTGTCCTGCCCTGACTTGATGTCCACAAGAAATCCAGTGGCATCAGGCATGGAGGCCCAGTGAGGGGTTACACGGAGCAAAGCAAGACCTTCCACTAGTTGCTAACTCCTGCCCTGCCTCCTCAGGGTCCACCCCAGCAACTTGGTACATAGCTGCCTGTTTCTTGGATCCAATGTCAGCCTCTTTCGGATTCTTTCATGTTGCAGGAGTACCTCAAACCCATCTCCTCCAGCAGGACGTCAGGTCCAAATTATCAGGCATTTCCTTGCCCCAAGGCTGAAGTAGCCCCAAACCTGTTCTCACTTGTGTCCACTTTTGTACTCCGGATATATTCGGTAGCCAGGGTGATTTTCGTTTTTCCAATTTTAACTTTTTATTTAAGTAAAATATACACACCAAAAAATGCACATATTCTAAGTATATAAAAGCTGAACCCGTTGCTGTCGAGTTGATTCCGACTCATAGTGACCATATAGGACGGAGTAGAACTGCCCCACAGCGTTTCCAAGGAACGGCTGGTGGATCTGAACGGCCGACCTTTTGGTTAGCAGCTGAGCTCTTAACCACTGCAGCACCAGGGCTCCAAGTGTATACAGACCAATGTATTTTCATAAAGTGCACACACTCAGACTAAGGATCAACATTCCTAGGACCCCAGAAACCCCCCCTCCCTGACGCCTTTCCAATCTTGAACCTCCCAGAGCTGCTGACTTGCAATAGCATAATTAGTTTTGCCTGTTTGAACGTTACTATGTGAGGTCTATGGATCACCATATGCTGTCTGGCTTCTTCACTGAGTATTTGTGACATTTATCTGGATTGTTCCATGTAGTTGTACATTGTTCATTCTTGTTGCTGTGTAGTTTCCCATTGTGTGAGCACACTGTAATTCATGTATCCTTTCTACTACTATTTGAATAGTTTCCTGTTTGGGGCCATCACAACCAGTATTGCATTGCCTTTGGTTAGCACATACATGCATTTCAGTCAGGAGTATCCGAACACCCCCTGCAGCAAATGAGCATTCCAGTTGCTCCACACCCTCAGCACCTTCATTTTCCATCTCTCATTTGGCCGTCCTGGGGGCTGTGTAGTGGTGCATGAGGATCTTCTTGAAACAAACCCGTCGTTGCTCTCTCCTTAAGACTCTTCCCAGTGACCTTAGAATCAAGGTAAACTTCCTTCGCGTGGTCTGCACACCCGTGAAATCTGATCTGGCCCCCGTGTGACCTGGCCCCCGTGTGATCTGGCCCACGTGTGACCTGGCCCCCGTGTGATCTGGCCCGTATGTGATGTGATCTGGCCCCCGTGTGATCTCGCCCCTGTGTGATGTGATCTGGCCCCTGCTCCATCTGCACCTGGATACCTTCTCCTCTGGAAACAGGGCCTTGCACCCAGCACGCCGTATCAGCAGTCGTGAGGTCCTCAGGTCAGATCCCGCTGTAATATGCTCTCACGGCTTTAGTTTGATAGTTTGATTAATGCTATTTGGTCTTTAGGCCTTTGGCTCCCAGAACAGAAAAGTGTCTGTTCTCATTCACCATCGCACATGGGGGACTTGGCAGAGAGTTGCAACTTGTGTATTTGAAGGAACAGATTAAATAATTGAGACTTAGATGACTGAAATTTGGATGCAGTACTTTTTGCCTTTGAAGAAATTTTATGGTGGGGTGAATATTACATTTTATATGCTTTGGGATAAAGCGTCAGGCTTTAAACGATCGATGCGGAGAACTCAGAAATACAGAAATGCCATTTGGCTACACAGTGACATCTGCTGGAGGCGGAACTCAACGGGACCGCTTCGTCTCTGGGTCTCGCACGTTTTCCACCTTTGATAGGGTGCCGTCCTAGCACGTTTCTGTCATTCGTGTGGAAAAATTTGAGTTTTCCTTCTCTGACAGGTTTCCAACTTAGGTTCTGGCTTTCACCGGTTTTACTGTATAATGTTAATCTGAATTTGTTATTTTCTGCAACTTTTATCATTTATTCCCCAGAGAAACCATTAATGTCAAATTACACTATTTAAGGTGTATTTGATTATAACCTTCAAAGACACTTTAGTGTTGGTCAGGGCTGTCTGCACCATTTTTAAGTGAACAAGGATGTTAGACTGACTTTACTAGTCTCATTCCAAATGGAAAAATGGGCTACAAAACTGCACTAGAGGAGTAAATTCTGAAATTTCCCTCTTTACACAGTCAGATGAGAGGAACTACTGCCCAGCTGCAGCAAACCCACCGGCGGGGGGCCCGAGGTTGTGTTGGCTTCTCGCCTCATGAGCCACTCCCCTGGGACACTGCACAGCTCCCTTGCTTCTCCCAGCCTTCGTGTCTGTACGAGGGCCCTAAGGACATCTGCTGCTTTCTCTTCCAGAGCCTGTCCCACTGTGAGCTCATCACAGATGATGGGATCCTGTACCTGAGCAACAGCGCCTGCGGTCACGAGCGGCTGAGGGTGCTGGAACTGGACAACTGTCTCCTCATCACGGACGTGGCGCTGGAGCATCTGGAGAACTGCCGTGGCCTGGAGCGCCTGGAGCTGTATGACTGCCAGCAGGTCACCCGCGCTGGCATCAAGAGGATGCGGGTAGGCGGGGGTGGGGTCAGTCATACCTGGCGCGGCTCTACGCAGTGGATGAATAATACATCAACAGTCAGCATCTGTTTTCTGCGCTCTGTCCTAAGCTGGCATACTCATCTGGCTGCACAGGAAGTCACCTTAGAATTCTTCAAAATTCCTTCGCTTAGACCTCACCCTGGAAGATTCAGTTTGAACGTGCCTGGGGTGGAGGTCCCATGTAGTCTGGTGATCAGCACCCTTATAAGAAGGCCACCTAAGGTCATTACCAGTAGAAAGCAGAACATGGTCTTGGCTAATTTCCAGGATAAGAAGGCGCAACAGATTTTTCTTTCCACATCAATTCATCTACATCATTTTCTCGCTCATTAAGTTCAGATAACTGCATTTACATCCCAAAGCAGCTTCATCCAGGGGGGCGACCGCTGTCCAGAACTTCACCCATTTGCACACAGGGCCAGTTAGTACATGTGGGCAGAAGCCTGTTCAACTTGGGAGTTTCCACTTGGCGGTAGAAGGTGCCGTGTTGGAGTCTGTGTGTGTACCGGGGATAGCTCTCACCTACACCAGAAATCCTACTTTCACTATTTGCCTGGTAATGTTAAGATGAAGTTATTATCTAAAACGTGGATTCTTAATGGAGGATGAGGACTTTTCTAGGATTAAGACCATAATCCTAAAAACACCGCAGTATGAGTACTCCCTGGTTTCCTTCTTTCTCCTCCAGGCTCAGCTCCCTCATGTCAAAGTGCACGCCTACTTCGCTCCTGTCACCCCACCAACGGCAGTGGGAGGAAGTGGACAGCGACTGTGCAGATGCTGTGTCGTTCTCTGACAGCAGCTGCCCCTCCCCAAGGCATGGCGTGGTGTCCCTTCCTCCAGAGAAGACTGAGTCTTCCTGACCTACTCACCGCTACCCAACTCTGTTGATACTCCACTGGGAGAGGCTTTTACAGGTAAAAGACTTCTGGGTGGGTTGCAGTAACTGGTGATAGCTGTCACCTTTATCCTGCTGTAGTGCAATCGAGTCTAAGCCGTGTGTCAGTTAACATGTGGCAGAAGCGGTCTCAACACAGCCGGGATCACGTGAGAAGCCCCGGAGCTCTAAGAGGTGGGTGTCTGTCTAGGTACCAAGTCACACCCTCGGCTGCAGCCCGTCAGTGTTAGCACAAACCCGGCAGAAAAAATCAGCTGCTGATTTTTCTACCTAAGACTTAAGAAGCCAGTGGGCTACTTTAATTCACGATTCCATTTTGATTAGCTCTAGAGTTTTCCACTTTTAAGACTAAATAATGACTTTATCCAAGTGACCATACTGCAAATTCATAATGCCTGGTCCTCTGATAGGTAGAGAACCGTGTGGAGGGTATGCTTGTTGGTTTCCATGAGACCCCAAAGAAATGAGGGCTCCACAATGGGTGGAGCAGGGTCTTCACCCTTCTGCTTCTGTCAGCTTGTTGGAGACCTCCCTGGGGACCCAAACCAAAAAGTAAACAAAAGCAGTTCAGAGTCTGTGTTCCCGACTGGAAGCTCTGGCATAGGGTGCAGCATGTAATGCGTTCCTGTTAAAGGGGAGACGCTAACGATGTCCACATCTCTGACAAACTGAGGGACATAAAGAAATAGAACTGATTAAGACTTAAGTTCACTAATATAACCAATTGAAAATAACAGATGCATGCAGAATGGACATGTTTTTTTTTTTTTTTCAAGTTTATTTTAAAATCTTAGAAATCAAGTTACACCAGAACTATTCAAAAATTTTACACTTCAAACTCAGATCAGTAAAGTGTTGGCAACTTTTACTCATAAAAATGAATAAACCACTGCAATGTTAAAAAAAAAAAAATTAACTGAGAGGGTTTTATTGCTATAAATCTTATGACAGACAAATCTGAGGAAAAGCATTTTTGAAATTCAGACCTTCCTAATGTTGTCAAAACTCTGATGAGCTATTTTCCGCTGTGGCTGATTCCTGCTCTGTACTGTCCACATGTGTGATCTTTATTAAAGATGAGGAACTCACTACCGCCTTCATTGTGAACTTGTCTGTTAATCGTAGCTGACCTTGCAGCCACTCCCCCAATGTGAAAAGCCAGGAGAAGATGAGATGAAACCAGAGGGAATTTTTCCACAACTAGCAGCTCCTCTGTTAAGATGACCATTTTTAAAGATACACTGCCCCAGCTGCATTCTAGGAGAAGGCAGATGTGTATACAGCCCCATAAATCAACTCTGCAGGATTATCGGGGTACGTACTCCAGTCTTAATGATTTCACTGCCTTATGATCTACTCCAGTATTCCCTGGTCCACACCACTGTGTGTGTGGGGAAAAAACAACTGATACAGGAAGTGATTTGACCCCTGACCTCAGGCACCAAGTAGGACAACCTCTTGTAACACATCAGGTTTGCTTCCTGAGTGTGGAACAGTTAACCTGGATATAACTTATCCTCAGTTGCATCAACTTTGAGAGAACAACAAATTGAAAAGGAAAAGCAGACACAGAGGCCTGGGCTCTCAACACTCGGACTGGCGTGTACTCAGCGCAGGCGAACATCGAACCCCTCAACTCTGATTCACACAGGACTTGAGGTGACACTACAGGCATGGCAGAAACGGGGACTGTAAATGAGACATTTGCAAAACCATCAGAAAACGTTTATTATACTGAAACGTGTACATCCTACTGTTAAAAAAAGAAAAGTAGCAAATCTGCTGGTACCATAATTTAACCTGTTTCACTGGGACAGACTAATGTTCAATACCACTCAGTACAGTTTTGAGTTTGATGAGTTTTTAATTATTTTTACTCTACTTCTAAAACCTGATGAGGAATTGAAAATAGCCCACAGCATCAAATGGCATTTACTGTTCCGTGGATCCCGAAAGCCCAGAAAGGGATGCTACACAGACAAGCAAAACTCCCAAATGAGAGAGTGTGTGACTGCTACAGAAAACATTTGGCCAAACAAAGCAAAGGGGAAGTGAAGGAAAGCTGTCCCCCAGCAGGCTCTACGGGAGTTACAGGCATTCTCAAACTGAAGATGGGAATAGGTTGAGACAGTGCTGTGCTGCTTTATATTTAACAATTCACCTGCTTTATTTATGAATTAATCATAAAATATCAACACTTCTACCCACTGTATTTTGTCTCCTGGGAGAGATTTCAAACTCAAAAATTGGTATTTCCCTCTGAACAAAGATGATCAAACAGCACATTCAAAGCTGAAACGCCTAGGCAAATTGGACAGAGATACACTATAATTAAAATGGAATATAAGGATTTCTTAACACTTGGGTCTGCTATATATACCACAGGCCTCAAAAAATGCTTGCTGATGACTTTCGGGAAGGCTTTGGGTGAAGGGGGAGATAAATGAGAAAAAGAGTGGATTCCCTTTGGGAAGTATACTGGCAGACAAGCATTTGACTTTGTGGAAGAGGCACTCTATAGAAACAGCACCTAATTAATCATCAGAATCTTTATCTATGATTGTACCAGAGCCCAGTATCTGAGGTGAGGAAGAAGGGATTTTTATGGTGATTTTAGTGTTTGATTTGTGACATCTAGTGTTGCAGGAACAATTTCGTCTTGTTGACAACGAAGCCTTCTTAACACCAAGTCAGAAGCCATCAGCAGTACTACTTCTTCCCCTGCTGAGGTCACCTGTTTTCACCATCCAGGTAGGGTAGGGCTTTAAAAATGTTTAAAATGAAAAGTAGGAAACAGAACAGGAGGGGGCGGGGGGAGAAAACCACATGAGTTTTAAAGGCGATGGGCTTCAAAAATGGAAAACCAGAAACTAAAATGCTAAAAATGGAAGCAGAAGCAAAAAGTTTTCCAATAAAACTGTGACAAAGCAAAAACACAAAGAAGTCTTTGTACCTATTAGGATTTACACTGATCCTCTCACCAAGGTACTCCTGATAATGCAGTTTGCGTCAAGCCCATCCTTCCGGCTTGATCTTCCCCGAGCTGGCATGATCCTGTCAACGCACACCTGGGACGTGATTTCCTCCAAGAAGTGCAGAGCCTCCGTCACCTGGCCGCTGGTGTTACCAGCACATCGCATCTCCACAGAGCCCATCCTGGCTCCACACTGCACTGCCCCCACCCACCCCCCCCGCCCCTCCACGTCAGCACAAGGTCCAAGCAATAAAAGCCAAACTGGCACAGAAAGGTAAATGCCCACAGTGAGTTTTTACATTCATTTCCAAACTGCATACTGTGTAAAAAACAGAGGCTGCTTCTAGGAATTTTATCCACTGGCCTCTGCCAGAGGAGCAGGCAGCTCTGTCCGCACCAGGGCCTCCGAGCCGGCTGCACGCTTTCCCGACGGGCTCGATCTCACAAGGATGCTTGGCTACGGCAGTGACGGGAGCTGCCTCGCATACGGCTCACCTGAAGTTCATCTTGTTTTCAATATGAAACATTTTATATATGGTCAAATCCAATCCCACGACTTCTTGGATTCAGTCTTCACACACTTTTAAGCGTGACTTTATTTGGTACTGAATATAGTTCAATCTACATAGGACATCACTTCAAAATTATGTGGATACCACCACCATTTTCAACTACAGAAAAAGGAAAGGGAAGGTTTTAGCCAGACTTAGGAAAACAAAGACTATTAAACTGAATACTCCCTGAAATCTACAACTTCTTTCCCCAATTAACAGAGGTTAGCTTTTAAAAATTCTAAAGAGCTGATTTACTTTCTCCAGCTCCTCCTCCCTGCGTGCACATGTTCCCTGTAGACATTTTGCTTTTTGATGTCCGACCCCTACTCCATTAGTGCTGCTGGTCTCACGCTGCTCGCCAGTTCCATGGCATGAGAGCCGTCAAGATAAGCAGCAAACACACTGTAACCATTAGGGGAACAAGAGCTGGAGACGGAACTGATGAAAACACCACGTGAGGGAAAAGGACAGTCAACTCTACAAAATACGTGTATGTGTATATGGAGCCAAGATGGAGGACCAGTCAGACACACTAAGCCATCCTGTTGCAACAAAGACCTGAAAAACCAAGTAGAACAGATACGGAGCGGAGGCTCCCTGCCAACCAGCAGGACACAGTGTAGCCATCTTGGTATAAAGCCAAAACACCTTCACGGAATTCCCAATAGGAGATGAGGAACAGTGCAGACACACCCAGAGCAAAGTAAGACAACATTTGCTGGCTGCAGCTCAAAGGGCCCACACATGCTCACGCACTACCAGAGGAGCACACTCCAACCCCACCCTTCTGCTGAATAGCAGCACTAACCACCCCATCCTGGCAGCCCCGGCTGCTGGAACCACAGTATGAACCTCCTTGTTCCCCCACTGCCTCCCCAGCCCCGCCACGGCCCCAAGTGGAACAGATGTGGCTTCAGCCCCTGCTCTGCCACACAGCCCAGAGAAAAACCAGCGCCACAGATAAATGACCCATTCCTGCTCCTCCCCCTAACACTGCGGGACCTGCCTCCCTGCACCATAGCTGAGCAAACTGCTGTACCCACCTGGAAAAGGTGGTGAGAACTACCATGCCCACAGATGAGTAAGCAACAAAGCATGCCCACTCTGCTTCCCCAAACAAAACAAAGCATCATGAAACAAACCTACAATCAAGAAAATAATAACTGAGTATCTCGGAGAAAACAGTATCAAAGCATATAAAAAAGCAGGACAAGATGGCACCAAGAAATGACCAAAATAAAGTACCAGATGACCTTCCAGTAGAAGAAAAAAAGGCACTGAATTCTAAAGTCTAATATTCAAGGTTCTACAAGAGATTAGAAAGCGATCATGGTAAACACAAAGCAATAGAAGAATTTAGGAAAATAATACAAGAACAAAATGTCTAAATAGAAGTCACACAAAAACAGCAGTTAGAAATCTAAAACATAACAAAATTTCAGAAATGGACAACAACACAGTAGAAGGTTTTAGGAGCAAATCTGAAACAACGGAAGACAGAGTCAGTGAAATTGAAGACAAATCCACTGATGCCACTTTGAGGCAAAACTGAACAATGAAGAAAACCTAAGAATTATATGATGCTATGATACTATATACATAAAGAACCCTAAAGACTTCACAAGAAAACTACTGGAACTAATAGATTCAGCAGAGTAACAGGAAACAAGATAAACATACAAAAATCTGTTGGATGCCTATACACTAATGAAGAGAACTACAGAAATCAGTGAAACAATAACCATCTACAATAGCCCCTCAAAAAATAAAATACATAGGAATAAATCTGACCAGGGATGTAAAATACCTATACAGAGAAAACTACAAAACACTACAGCAAGCAACCAAAAGAGAACTACAAAAATGGAAAAACATACCATGCTCACGGATAGGTAGATTCAACCTTGTGAAAATGTCAATTCTACTCAAAGTGTTCTACAAATACAATGTAATCCCTATCCAAATACCAACAGCATTCTTAAACGAGATGGAAAAACTAATCATTAACTGTATATGGAAAGCAAAGAGGTCCCGGATAGGTAAAGCATTGCTGAAGAACAAAATAGGACTCCTCACGCTACCTGACCACAAAAATGGTACAACAACAGACATACTGACCCAAGGAACAGAATTGAGAACCCAGAAATAAATCCATCCATCTACGGTCAGCTGATCTTTGACAAAGGCCCAAAGTTCATTAAATGGGGGAAAAGACAGTCTTTTTAACAAATGGTGCTAGTAAAACAATGTCCATCTGTAAAAGAAACAGGACTCATACCTACACTATACACGAAAACTAACTCAAAATGGATCAAAGACCTAAATATAACAGCAAAAAACAATAAAGATCATGGAAGAAAAAAACAGGGTCAACGCTGTAATAAACTCATTGCTATCAAGTGGATTCTGACTCATAGTGACTCCAGAGGACAGGAGCAGAACTGCCCCATAGGGTCTCCAAGGTGCAGCTGATGGATCTGAACTGCTGACCTTTTGGTTAGCAGCTGAGCTCTTAAGCACTACGCCACCAGGGCTCCAACACTGTAACAGGGGCCCTAATATGCAGCATAAATACAAACCAATACACAAACACCAAAAAACAAACTAGATAACTGGGATCTTCTAAAAACATAAATTTATGCTCATCAAAAGACTCTTCACCAAAAGAGTGAAAAGAGAACCTACAGACTGGGAAAAACTTTTCGCTATGACGTATCTGGGCAAAGGTCTAACCTCTAAAATCTGTAAAATACTCCAACACCTCAACAACAAAAGGCAAATAATCCTTTCAAAAAATGGGCAAAGGATATGAACAGACACTTTACTGAAGAAGACATGCAGGCAGCTAACAGACACATGAGGAAATGCTCGTGATCATTAGCCATTAGAGAAATGCAAATCAAAACTACAATGCGATACATCTCACCCCGGCATTAGTGGCAATAATCCAAAAACAGGAAATAACAAATGATGGAGTGGTTGTGGGGAACTGGAACTCTTATGCACTGCTGGTGGGAATGTAAATAGTACGACCACTATGGAAAACGATATGGCGCTTCCTTAGAAAGCTAGAAATAGAAATACCAAATGATCCAGCAATCCTACTCCTAGGAATAGATCCTAGAGAAATAAGGGGTCTCACACAAATAGACATATGCACACCCCTGTTCACTGCAGCGTTATTTTCAGTAGGTTGTTTCCATCTTTTTGCTAAGTGCCCATCAAAAAAATGAATGGATAAACTATGGTACATACACACACAATGGAATACTATGCAAGAATAAATACCTCACAACATGGATACATCTGGAGGGCATTATGGTGAGTAAAATAAGTCAATCACAAAAGGACAAATATTGTATGAGACCACTATTATAAAAACCCAAGAAAAGGTTCATGCACAGGAAGAAACAATCGTGAATGGTTATGAGGAAGGGGCATGGTGGGGAGGGGAGACCACTAACTATAAATAGTAGACAAGTGGTAACTTTGGTAAAGGGAAAGATGGTACACAATACAGGGGAAGTTTGCACAATTTGACCAAGGCAAAGTCACAGAAACTTCACAGACACATCCAGACTCCCTGAGGGGACCCAGTTACTGGGCTGAGAGCTGGGGATCATGGTCTCAGGGGACATCTAGATCAACTGGCATAACATAGATCATAAAGAAACTGTTCTGACTTTGGTGAGTAGCATCTGGGATCTTAAAAGCCTGTGAGCAGCCATCTAGGATACACCTACTGGTCCCAGCTAATCCAGAGCAAAGGAGAATGAAGAAAACCAAAGACACAAGGAAAGTACTAGTCCAAAGGACTAATGGACCACAGGGACCACACCTCCAACCGCTCTGACAGGGAACACAATTAGAGGGCTCCAAACAGAGCCGGAGAAAAATGTAAAGCAAAATTCAAATTCACAAAAAAAGACCGGACTTACTAGTTTGACAGAGACAGGAGAAACCCCAAGAATATGGCCCCCAGACACCCTGCTAACTCACAACTGAAGTCACTCCCAAAGATTAGACAGGTCTATAAAACAGTAGCACACCTGAGGAGCGTCAGCCATCTTTTCTGGAAAATTTTTTGGAACTCCTCAGAGGAAGATCCCAAACATTTAAAAAAAATATATTACTACTACTTCTGCCAATGGCCTTGTGTTTCTCAGTAAATGTGAGAAGCAGCAGTTTAGCCATTCATCAAGGAACAGATGAACTTTTTCAGGAGGACAAAAGTCTAAAACAGTCAGCTGAGACTGGAGGGAGAAACCTACATCCAACGGTTTCACAGAACACCACACAATCATAGTATAAATTTCCTCTTTTAGACAACCTGAGTTTTGCAGATTAAAAACTATGGAGACCACAAGATTGAGCAGAAGAGTACTAAGCTAAAGATGATTTGGAAAGTAGAAGACGAAGTGAAGCAGCTCCCAGTGGAAACCTGAGAAACCTGATGGCGTCCGCACCATGTCAGGCCCCAAGTGCCAGCCTAGCTTCAGCACTGTTTTGGGCTACTCCTGTCTAGTGTGACCGCCAGGAAGGAAATTTTATGCTAAGGCTGGATGTGGACCTTAACCCACCTGACTTTTTTTTTTTTTAAATAACTGAGTTTTGGTGAAAGTTTACACGGCAAGTTAAGTTCCCATGTGACAATTTCCACACAAACTGTTTGTTGACATTAGTTACATTTACCACAGTTTATCTACATTCTCTCTGTACCCTCCATACATGCTTCATCCATGTCTACATTCAGTGCTGCTTTTCCCATCACCACACAAATAACAAGTCCCTACGGCCTGAGTGTATGACACCATCTTAAATAACAATTATACATTTAAAAATCCCTCTTCTATCCAACCTTTTAATATTGGAACCCACCTGAGCCCCATCCTTCTACACTCACTCTGTGAAAGACCCTAACTATTCCTATGGCTCTGGTCACCATTCATGCTGAAGACTCCAGGCCTCTCCTCGGAGCCGCGGACTGATACCATCCACTTGCCCACCTGACTGACTTTCCTCAGCCTTACCTACCTCTTTAATGGGACTACCCTTTGCCCAGTTGCTCCTGCCAGAAAACCAGGGTCACAGCCTCCTTCCCCTCAAATGTGGAGCCCAGTGGGGCCCTGTCTATAAAACTATGGGCCACCATCACCTCTCATGGGGGGATGACACCTCCGGCCTCCAGTGTGCCATTTTCTCATCTGTCTCCACAGCAGCCAGGGTGAGACAAGCTGATCCCATTCCTTCCTGTTCAGACCACCTCACGGGCTTCCATCAGCACCAGGTCCTACATATTCCAGACCCTGGGTCCTGCTCTGCCCCACCTTGCTCTGCCCGCCCCTCCCACACGCATGGCAGCTACACTGGCCATCTTTCAGGCCTTAAATAAGCCAAGCTGTCTCCGTGCACACAGCCACATGCTGCCTGGGAAGGCTCCTTACTTGGCTGGCTCCTTCGCACTCACCAAGTCTCAGCACTCATGACCCCTCCCCAGAGAAGCCTTCCCTGACGGCCTCCTCTCCCCCAACCTGGATCCCTCATAAGCACCCCACACTGTCCCATTCCTTCATGGCATTTAAGATATCTGTAATTAATGTCCATCTGCAAAAAAAAAAAAAAGGAAACAGGACCCATATCTCACATCATACATGAAAACTAACTCAAAATGGATCAAAGACCTAAATATAAAACCTAAAACGATAATGATCATGGAAGAAAAGATAGGGGCAACACCAGGGGCCCTAATACACGGCATAAAGAGAATACAAAGCAGGATTAACAAAGCACAACCCCCAGAAGAGAAACTTCATAAATGGGAGTTCCTAAAAATTAAACACTCACGCCCATCAAGACTTCACCAGAAGAATTAAAAAAAGAACAGATTGGGGGAAAAAATTTGGCTATGATGTATCCAACAAAGGTTTAATCTCTAAAATCTATAGAATACTTTAACACCTCAACAACAAGATGACAAATGAAGAATGGGCAAAGAATATGAACAGGCACTTCACCAAAGAAGACATTCAGACAGCGAACAGACACATGAGGAAGTGCTCGTGATCGTTAGCCATTAGAGAAATGCAAATCAAAACTACAATAAGATACCATCTCACCCCAACATTACTGGCAATAAAAAAAAAAAAAAAAGGATAGAGAGGCTGCAGGGGGATTGGAACTCTTATGCACTGCTGGTGGGAATGTAAAATGGTACAACCACTATGGAAAACAATATGGCGCCTCCTTAAAAAGCTAGAAATAGAAATACCATATGATCCAGCAATCCCACTCCTAGGAATAGATCCTAGATAAGAACCATCATATAAAATAGACATATGCACACCCATGTTCACTGCAGCATTATTTACAATAGCAAAAAGATGGAAACAACCTAAATGCCTATCAACAGATGCATGGATAAACTATGGTCCATACACACAATGGAATACTATGCAACGATAAAGAACAATGATAAATCCGCGAAACATCTTACAACATGGATGAATCTGGAGGGCATTAGGGTGAGTGAAATGTCAATCACAAAAGGACAAATACGTACGAAACCACTATTATAAAAACCCAAGAAAAGGTTTACATACAGAAAGAAACAATCTTTGATGGTTATGAGGGAGGGGAGGGGTAGGGAGGGGAAATCACTAACTAGATAGCAGACAAGCATTAACTTTGGTGAAGGGAAAGACAACATAGAGGAAGTCAGCACAACCTGACCAAGGCAAAGTTACAGAAGCTTCCTAGATATATCCAAACTCCTTGAGGGACCGAGTTATTGGTGCTGAGGGATGGAGAACACGGTTTCGGGGGACATCTAGGTCACCTGGTATACCCACTGAAGTCCAGTTGATTCCGATTCATAGTGACCATAGTTCATAAAGAAGATGTTCTACATCCTACCTGTACCTGTTGGCCTACTTTGGCTTGATTTTGCCACTGGAGTAGGAGTTCCGTGAACTAAGGATCTCTGCCTGGTTTGTTCCTGACTTAACTAGCTCCAAAAGCATGGTGACTGACACAAGGTGCTCAGTGCAATGTCAGCTAAAGAAGTGAGATTTCTTCCAGCCATCTAGAAGAACTGGCTCTTCTTCCCTATCAGTTAGTTCATTTCTATCACAGTCAATAGAAGTACTTTCCTGGTTCATTTTTCAAACTCTTTTCTTAAAATTAATACAGCTAGCATTTTCAGAAGTACACACACAAGAGGGCTCCTGACTACAGGCACCCGTTGTCTGTCAGATTCCAGCACTGTAAGACTCACGCACACATGCAAAATACCTTTTACTGTGGAGAATAAAAAGCAACTCTCATCTTGAAAGTTCTGAACCATCTGGAAAGATAAAGCAGATGTGTAATTAAAATTCAGCTGTCCTTTCAACTGACTAGAAAAGAGTAAAATGAGTAAAGGAAGATGTCATAATCCATATACTGTGCTTGCCCAGGGTCAGGACTTGCTGGCTAAAATGGTAAGTTCTGAATGGAACGTACAATGCATGTCCGCTGCAGCAGCAGGGCTTGTGCAAAGGCTACCTGCCCATCCCCCACGACCCACTGGGGAACGTTCCCTGCGGGCCCTGGGAATGATCACTCTCTAACAAAGTCGTTTCATAAAAGTGCTTCTCTATTACTTGCTTGTCATTAACCATTGGAGGGGAAAACTGGACTTCTAATCTTACACGTGTTTTAAAACTAGTCATCCAATAATGGTAAAAGGAGAACACATCCCAATGCCTCGCGACATCAATCAGGCCCAAGCCTGGAGCAGAATCCCCCAAGGTGCATCTGAATTTTCCAATGGGGGTTTAGCGGGCCACAGTTTCCCTTGACTTGTACTCCTCATATCGCTAGGATGCTTGAAGCTGTTGGTTATGAACCCTTCAAAGTTTTGATCCTTAACTCTTTGAAAAGGACTTTCGGGAGTATTTGCAAGAGTTCACAAAATTCCTCTGTAGTTCTACAATGGTATGTATAAAAGGAAATAATCAGTGTAAATACCAGGGCCGAGTGGAAGGGCATTCTATTTACCTGATCGCTAACAAGAATGTGGATACCAGTGGGACCCTGTCTGTAAACGTGGTTAATTTGCTGCAAAGGAATATTAAACACCAACGCAAGTTTTCGAGCGACTTCTGAGGCAAGCATTTCCTCCAAGTAGATAGCATGATAAACTGAAATAAAAAATAAGAACAGCATTTTAACAGTAACCTTTGATTTGTTTGTACCTGATCTACAGGAAGATCACACCTTTCAAAGAACAAAAATCAATGAGATAAAAATGAAAACTAACACTTTCCCATCTTCCTGCCCTCAAATCTCCCCAACTCTCCATCTCTTTTGAAATGTAAGAATACACTGAATATCTATGCTTATGCACAATTTAATAAACATTAACAGCAATCTCTGTATTCAATGATTTGAGGTTTTAAATTTTATCTATATTTAAATTTTCCTGCAATGAACATGGAGTTTCATGTATTCAAAAAGAATTGACTGTAAACGGGCACGGGGATCTCTTGGGAGGCAACAGAACTAAAAGTAGATTGTGATAATGGCTGCAAAACTCTGGGAGGATTTTACAGTGTGTAAATTACACCGGAAGAAAGCTGTTTTCAAAAATGACATGTATTTCTAGCAGTATATAAAAATAACCCTACAAGGGTCATAGCTGTTGATTCAGTAATCCTACTACCGAGAATTTATCCTAAGAAATAAAAGCCATCTGTACCCTCCCCCGACAAAAAAACAATTCAAAACAAGAATATAAAAGATATCATAAGAAAACTAACAACTTGTATTCTTAGTCGTCAAAATTCAAAATATGAATTTTGAATGCAGACAACATATTTCCAAATGGGAAAGTTCAAAACAGTGATGTTTCCTTATAAATTCTGAGTAAAATTCAAAATCACATAGTATTTGCAATCCCTCCTTTCTGCCCATTATTAGAGCAAACAACTGCCTCTTGGAGTTCTGTAACCCATCTTTCCCTGCAAAGTTCCAGGCACATCACCCTCATCCTACTGCAGAACGTGGGAGGAGGGAGATCTTACCATGTATCCACATTACAAATGAGAAAACAAATACTTAAAAAAAGTTTTTTGGCTCTTTTTGTTTTTAAAGGACTATATTTAGAAGAGGGGGAGGGGCCAGGATGCTTTCTCTCCCCTAACCCTCTCTCCCCTAACCCAGCGCTGTATTATACGATCATTAAGGAGAACTCTCATGATGAGAGGCTCTCCCGCACTCAGATGGAAAATCACACAGAACGTATTTCCAGTGACGCCAGAACACGCACCAGATTTCTCACACAGGCCCACCGTGCTGCCAGCTCAGGATACGTGTGGTCGTCTCTGCGCTAAGTCCACACGCCCAGTACTGTCACACAGGTGCGTCTTTGCACAGATGTGACATTTTAAGAAGACGTGTGTTTTCCCCAGTCAGTGAAATGGGGAAAAAGAAAAACCCTCAGGCTTTCTGGTCAAGCTGTCAGTATCACATCCATCATTTCAGTAAATCTGAGATTTAAAGGGAAAAAAAAAAAAAAAGCCAGAGCAAAACCCCAAAACACTCAAGCCAGCCTTTGCTATTTCTGACATGAAGAGCACACACACGAGACACGAGTGTGGCTGGAATGACCGAGGGGGCTGTTGATCCCTCTTCTCCTAGAGCCGCGGCCTCCCCGCTGTCGAGGTGCACCTGCAGCAGCAACCGGGCCCAGCCTGCTGCAAGAAACCTGCCGGCGCCCCTCTCAGGTCCTGCTCATTTCCGCCCCTCAGTGTCTCAGACATGGAGCGACAGGAAGTTGAGCGGCCCTCGATACCCACCGTAGGGTGTCCCACTGCCATTCTCGCCTCCACTGCCTGCAGCCTGCTGCTGCCCGAGCAGCGGTGTGCTGCCCAGCTGCTCCTGGCAGACATAGATGGTTAAGCGGGGCCTAACTGACCTGCAAACAGAAGATGCATTCATGAGCCTAGAGAATGCTGCCTCACAGCAGGTACAAACAACCTAATTCCTTAGGAGAACGTGACAACGTTAGGTCACCTCACAAAGTGATTTACTAATGAGAATATAAAAACCACACACCTCACACCAACTATCCCAGGTGGTCTAATCTGATGATCCAGACTCTAAACCATTGAGATGGTCTGTCAGATGCTGGTAAATTTAAGTTTCAAGATTAAGTCAGCAACTGAAAATTAGTAAGATTCAATTTTAATGGAACTCTGACACCACAAATCTAGAAACAGCAAGACAGTAAAGGGATCTGAAAAGCCAGCAGTTTACAGTTCTATCGCTGTAATTCACAATTGGAAGTTTACATTTTTAGTAACAGTTTAGTAGCTACGACCTTGAAAACCACAGATTCTGTAGGGCTCACCTAAATGAGAAGTTTTGTTTTCTTGGCAACAAACCCAGTCTTCAAGAACTGAGTCCAGCCCATGTGCATGCGTACCAGTCTTACAGTCCACCTCGGACCCTAACAGTGCCTGCATCGTATCTGGGCCTGCCTGAAGGTGTACACACAAGTCTCCTCGTGAGCATGGCACTGCCAGTGCGCTACAGCACACACAGGCACACGCCAGCCCAACATGGCCACACGCCAGCCCAGCGTGGAATGACATCCTGCCCGAACTCCCCGTGCCAAGAAAGGTACATTCTTATTTCATGCAAAACAACTGCTTTTAAACACAGTAATTTACCTTGACTTCAGTGCATTATAGAGCCGAATTCCATCGGCTGCACCACAAATTTGTACTAAATCCTCTTTTGTCAGTTTTAGTAAGTCGGCACCTGGAGAAACAGCAAAGAGATTTTGCTCAAAGAAATGGAAGAACAACTATCAGAATTGGCTGTTGTACTGGCCTCTGTATTCGTATCATTAACTAACTGTCCTTCACAACCATCTCAGATGTCCTGGACATACACACACATGAACAACATAAACACATACACACATACACACATGCCTGTCCCTCATAACCAGTGAAAATGCTGCCTCTCTCTCCCTGTATCAAGAAGGAGCTTAGAGCAGAGGCTGCTAGGTCGGGTCAACAGGCAGGACCCAAAGAACTGTCTGTTCCCAACAAAGGATTTCACTGCCTACCCTGTTCTGTGGCTGGGCTGTGGGTGTGTGGATAAGCATGATTGTGACTCCAGATTACTAAACTGTAATCACCCAGACCAGTCAATATTTTATTTTACAAGAAAAAAAAAAAGAAATGGAAGTTCAGAACCTCGGGGACTTGCCCAAAGTCGCACAACTACAGCTGGCAAAGCCAGAACTAGGCCCCTTTATGCTGTGAAACGCAACGTGAAGTCACCCTGCAACATCGCAGCTGTCACGACAGCCAGTCTTTGTGTGAAAGCTGATTGGTATTAGCTTCAACCGCAGAGAACTGCACATTATTCTTGAAGACCTCCCTGTGAGTGGAAACCACACGGTGTCTAGAGTTACTTTAGAAGAAACAGAAACAGGGGAGCAGGCGTGGCGGAGAGTGAGACCAACCGAAGTGTGGTCATCTCTGAAGCAGGGGGTGGTCATGTGGGGTCCATCACACTCCGCTCTCCACGTTTTATGTTAACCTTTTCTTTTACCCTTTTTTTAACATTCGTGATGCAGTGTGCTGGGGAAACCAAGACACCCTTTGAGATTAAGGCATGATTTCCATATGATAAATACCTCCTCACATATGTAATAACGGCGTTCTTTAAGGGTTCAAATGTGAACGCCTAATAACTGTAGTTTGTAAGAGAAAAAAAGAGCAAAGAAGTCCATCTCCCACGAACACTGATGGAGTCAGGAAGGAGAGAGGCTCTCTCATCTCTCCACCATGGCCCACCACACGCACCCTGAAGACGTGGGTGTGTGCATCCTTCACCCATACAGACATGGACAGATACCCTTCCTTCCTGAAATGTGAGTGCCCACAAGGACAGGGCAAGAACCCCCCTCCGCCTCACTGTTCTATTGTCAGCACTGCGTCCATGGATTTGACAACCCCAGAGGAAGCTCACAGGGTGAGGAGAAAGGGTGGGACCATGGAGACCACTGCTCAGTGACAACCGCTCAACACTGTCCAGACAGAAACACATGTCCCCCCTACGACAATGGGAACACGTCCCCTCCCTATGTTGACAGGAGTAGCCTGGAGCCACCCTCAGTACCAACCGTCAGCTTTTTCTGTGTGCTATGCTTTTCATCTGCCTTCCCTATAAGGGTTCAACACACACATGCCCCCACTGAAATTTTACAGATTCTAGTTTTTCACACATAAAAGCCCTTACTTAATCATAAAAATATGTGGGACCCAGCTAGCAAATGACCTGCATCTGGTACTTTAACTGTAATATTGCATAAACACTGCAAGAAGTGGCCAACATAATAGGAAGCCATATTCTTCGTGAAATCAAGCTTCCTTAAGGCCAAGTATGGACACAGATATGCTCTGTCCTTTTAAAGAGCTCAAGCTGCATTCTTTTGGCCCCACAGCACAGCAGGCAAAGGAAGCTAACCGCCACAGTCCTGGGGCCCAGAGTGTCTCAGGATGTGCTTCGAGGACATGTTAGTAAGTGTTCTGTGGGGACAGGGCCCAGGGCCAGCTACGTCTGTGAAGTGCTGCCTCTGCTGTCCGCCCTGCCTGGTGTTATCTCTTACTGTCCCTCTAAACAGCTTTTCTATGGTGGCACTGAGAGAGGCACCGCTTGGTCCCTTCTGAAATTCCACCTAATGCTCCATTAGCTTACTCTGCAAGAAAAAACTGAAACTGGAGCACAGAAAAATCCTGAGTATACCCACATTATGGACAGGACTCGGCTGTAAAAGGAACAAACTATGGGTATACACAACTTAGATGAATCTCAAGGGCGCTGCGCTAAGTGATACACACCAAACTCAGAAAGTGACAGACTGTAGGACTCCATTTATGTCGCATCCTGGAAAAGACAAGATTGCAGAGATAGAGAACAGACTAGTGGTTACAAGGAGTTGGGGATGGTGGGGGAGAGATGTAGGTGTAATTATACAAGGGTGACAGAAGGGACATCTTTAGGTGATGGAATAGTTTTGTATTTTGTGGGGGTGGTTATATGAATCTACACGTGATAAAATGATCCAGACGCACCCTGTATCAAGGTTAATTTCACATAATAATTATGTAGGATGTAATCTCACTGCGAGAAACTGAGTGATAGGTAGAGAGGGCTTCTCTGTACTATCTTTGCAACTTCCTGCAAAACTATTAATTATTTCAAAATTAAAAGTTAATAAAATGAAAAAAAATTGCACAGAACTACACACACACATAAATGAACACATTTTCCGACTAAAATTAATGTCTTTCATTTTCCTGGCACCCCTGGAGATAGTCAGAGGCGCGTCAGAACATTTAGTTGGTAAAATCTAGATTGTACCATGTCACCTTCCTAGTGCTGACAGGGTACAACAGATACGCTAGACGGTAGCACTGGGGGACCAGGGTGGGGGACAGGACACAGACCTCCCTGCGCGTTTCTGTGTACCTTCCTGTCAATCTGTAATTTCAAAGTTAAAAAAAAAAAAAAATCTAAAGGTTAAGAAAAGCACAAATAAACAGGCCAACAAAACACACACACAGAGACAGACCTGAAAAATTGGAGAACAGTCTCGTGTAGGAAGAGAAGCGATTTTTGAGCAGCCACTGCTGTGTTTCCTGAATTGTGGCGGAAGGCTGAAGTTGCTGTTTTAAAAAAAAAAAAAAAAATAGAAGAAATTATTCAACCTAAGTCTCTGGCACATTATAAGAAGAAGAACATGCGAACAAAACACAGAAATCCTCTAGTTCTGAAGTGAAAAACACCCCAGAGGAGCACAGGGCTGACTGCTCAGCAACCCACAATGACAAGAGGCCCTATAAGACTCTGCAGATGCAGGGGGCCTGAGAGCAGCTGAGAGGTCAGGAAAAAGATACTCACTTCAGCAGAGGCCTGCGAAACGCCATCTCCCTGATGATTTGGGGAAGAAGAATTGCTGGGAAAAGAGAGAAGAAAGGAAAGGATGATTTTTATGATATATATTTTTAAATCAAGACGTTAGAGGCTACTGAAGTGGGGAGATTAAACGTAAGACAATACTGTGCGAGAGAGCCGTGATGTGGAAGCAAGGAGGAGGCGCGGCTGGCCAGGGTCCCTGTGATGGGGAGGTCAGCAGACTGAGGACTCACATCTCAGTCTGTGCCTGCAGTAAGAACCCCGGTTTTGGGAGGCAAAGCGCCCCTCTGACTTATCTCCGGGGGTGCCAGGAAAATGAAAGAAACTCATTTGTTTTATTTGGAAAAAAATATGAGAAATCAGATAAGATAAACAACTGAAAATAACTGTAAAAAAAAACTACTCTGATAATGAACTACAAGAAAAGAGTATAATGATCCTAAGCCAAAAAATAAAAGTTATTCCTTCAGCTAATCCATACATCCATGATTAAAGAGAGTGAAATTCCAGAGAACAAAAGAAACCAACCTGCACCACTATCCCTGTTTCTGAAGGGAAAATGAAAATGAAAAACAACTCCACAGGGAACACGGCCGCTTCCTGGCTACTGGGCACAGCCTCCTTTCTTAGCACCTGTACCTCAATCCCTCAGGTTTATTATGCTGACTGTCCTTCTCTCTTTACCCATGAGCCCCACTAATGTTGATTTTACCTCACAAAGAATATATGCTGGCTCTATCTTCAAAATGCCCGCTTTTCTCCAATCACCACAGTTGTGAATGCGTGAGGCACACGGGACTGGAGCAAAAAGGCTGGCAGGCGAAGAAAGACAAGGATTCTCCTCTGAAACTGAGGTACACTTCAGCTACGGAGCCCTGGTGGCACAGTGGTTAAGAGCACGGCTGATAACCAAAAGGTCAGCAGTGCAAATCCACCAGTTACTCCTTGCAAACCCTACGGGGCAGTTCTGCTCTGTCCTGTAGGGTCACTACGAGTCAGAATCGACTCGATGGCAACAGGTTTGGTTTTTTTGGTTTTACATACTTCAGCTGTACCAAAAAGAGGGTGCTGTAAATTAAGAGAAAGGGAAGTCACAGAGCATGAGCATCAGCCAGCCTTATCCCCACAACTACACAAACCAGATACCTGTCTGGGACACTGCAGGTGCTCGGCGGGGGGGGAGTGAAAGTGGGTGCTGCGGAAGGACTGTTATTCACGTAGGCGGTGGGGGTATCGGGCCACGGAGAACACTAAGGACAGAAACAGAAGGGAGTTAGTGAAATGCTGTTAAGGTTTGTGGAAGAAATATTTTTGTTATTCACTCTCTAGTCTGGCCAAATGCAAGATTATAAAATGCAAGATACTGGATGCTCATCAAGCAACCTCAGAAAACACGTCAAGTTTACTTCTGTGTGGCAGAGAAAAATTGTACCTGCTGTGTGCAGCTAGACACTGATAAGCTTAGAGAGGACCTGAAGTGGTAACAGCAGCAAACGTCTAGAAAGGCATTTTAAACAGATACTTTCATACAACTTGCTTTCAGAAACTTTCACCCCCTGGACCAGAATCTTAGTGAAATCTCAGCTCCCAAAAAGGTCCCCACCAAGGTTTAAGGCAGCAGAGACGAGAAGAGAGTCATAAGCCAACATTTGACAGACAGTGGCTCTGTCCCACCTGGTGTCCCCTCATCCCATCAACTTGCCTTCGTCCCCCAAAAGCAGCCGCACGGTGCCCGTGTTCATCGTCTGCTTCCTAACATTAGTAACCCCCAGGTAAGACTGCAGGCCCAGCATCAACTATGTCAGCTGAGTAAGATGCTCCCTGCCTCTCTCTATCGACTGATCCACAGTCAGGCCCAGCATCCGATACGTCAGCTGTGTAAGATACTGCCTGCCTCTATTTCTCTATCAGCTGATCCATCAGTCAGGCCCAGCATCAAATATGTCAGCTGTGTAAGATGCTGCCTGCCTCTATCTCTCTACCGACTGATCCACGATCAGGCCCAGCATCCAATACGTCAGCTGTAAGATACTGCCTGCCTCTCTCTCTCTATCAACTCATCCATGATCGGGCCCAGCATGCAATACGTCAGCTGTGTAAGATACTGCCTGCCTCTATTTCTCTATTGACTGATCCATCAGTCAGGCCCAGCATCGAAATACGTCAGCTGTGTAAGATACTGCCTGCCTCTCTCTCTCTATTGACTGATCCACAACATCCAAATACGTCAGCTGTGTAAGATGCTGCCTGCCTCTCTCTCTCTACTGACTGATCTCCGATCAGGCCCAGCATCCGATACGTCAGCTGTGTAAGATACTACCTGCCTCTCTCTCTCTCTATTGACTGATCCACAATCAGCCCAGCATCCAAATACGTCAGCTGTGTAAGATACTGCCTGCCTCTATCTCTCTTTGCTAGACGGGCACTGTGAACTGAGATATTTTTCAGCTCAAGGCAAAATTCCAACCAGATTTAGAGCAAAGATACAAAGACATTGAAGAGCCAAAGTCAAAAGCATGCTGAGCAGGCCAGGGGGGTCTCGGGGAGCAGTCTTCAGCCAAGGTATGCAGGGGCCCCATTTCACACCACAGGCACTCTTCAAAAGCTCTTCCCCAAAGAAGGCCCTCGGCTTCCAGGGTCCCCTTCCATAATGACCCTCTTCCCATTTTATACAAGAAAGGCATGGCATCTCACCATGGCCCTGGGGTATGCAACTCTCCCAAAAGCCAAGCAGAAGACCACTCAAAGACATGAGAACAGTGAGAAAGTGCATGACCCTGATGACTGAAAATAACCTTCTGTAAGTCAGGTGGTCTTCAATTTCTTTGCTTTCAACAAAATTCAGGGAGGACCTAAACTGAGCTGTTAGCTGGTATATACTAAATTATCTACTAGATCATTAAACAAAATAAATAAATCATCCGAATCTGAGCAGATAACTCAAAAGGAGTTCAAAAACTTGAACGATACTGCTGAAATAACTCTTCCCCATCTACTTATTCATAAAAACAAGGTTTCTCACGTCTATTTAAAAAAAAGAAATAATAATGAGGAATTTATGTTCCAGCCTGTCTTATTCAAGATACATTTATAGTAAATTTCAATTTTTATATTTAATAATTATTCATCAAATGTTCATGATTTTTGTTTTGATAAATTGGTACTACTAATAATGCTAGGTGTTACATTTCTCAGCTGAGTTAAGAGCCATATGGTCACAGAAACTTTAAAAATTAGATTTCAATTTCTGTAAGTTTGTTGTAAAGTGTTAGGGTGATCATTAAAAGACCTTCAGGCATAAAAATACGCACATTAGGATGAAATTATGTGAGAGTAGTGAAATGGAAACATAAAATCAAGAAGAGCCAAGTACAATTGTGGATTGCTAAAGAGTTTTTAAATGAAAGATGGCGGGTATCAGAGTGCATGGTATTTAGATTCCAGAGGAGACATTTCAAAGAGTGATGTGATTGTTTCAACTGAAAATGTAAAGACAAGTTTCAATATGCCAGAAAATTACCTCCTTTGCAACTATTTAAACTTACAGTGAAAACTTTTAGATTTGAACCTAAAAATGCATGAGAAAGTATATCCTTTTCCAAAATTGTCGAGACCAAGTGTGAAGGACGTACCAGGCCAGAACCAAGCCTCTCCTGGCGCACAGGGGTTTAACCACACGTGTCTGACACCCACCAGGAGCACAGATACAAGGAAAATAAAATAGCAATCCTGGAACCATAACATTCTTTACAATTACCCAATTATGTATCCCCTCAGAAATGGGGAAAACAATTGCAGATTTATTGTTTCAAATACTATTAGCTGACTATAAAGGAAAAAAAAAATCGAATCTGGTTGGACAGCTTTGGCAAACTTACTGCAGGCCGTATCTGTCACCATAAATGATGTTTCTACAACAAGGCCCATTCTTTTTAAACTAGGGCCTTTGGTTTTCTTCCCATCTTACAAAGTAAGCATCCCCTCAGCTTACAGTTTGAGGAACCCAAGACCCACTGAGCCAACTGGCAAATTTAGTCACTTACGGGTGTGATTCATTCAGTCATCTCTACAACCAGGAAGATTTTCCTTCTAATCCATCCCAGCCAGATACAAAATATTACAACGCAGCATAACACATCTAAATAATATAAACCTTTTAATACTAAAAATATCAACTCTCCTCCAATTTGCTTCAGTAATTACTGCCAGCTGTTTAACTGAGGAAATGAAGCCACCAAACAGCTTCCAGTTAGTATGGCAGAGTAAGATAGAGAAACCAAGTTGACTGAAACTCCAGAAACACATCTATTTCACTTTATACCTTGTTGCTTCTTTTAGCAGAAGGCCACAGCTGTTAAAGTTCTGACATCTAAAACCTTCCCAATAAACATGAGACTCAATTCACTGAGCGCTGGAGACCTAGTGGTGTTCACTGAAAACCAGTACCATTGGCAGGCTTCCACTTTTAGAAATAACGGAGTCTATGCTCTTCACTGGCCAGGTTGAATGAAACGCCCAACCCTGCCTGTGTCCTATCTTACAGGTCTCTTTTGCAGTCTCAACTCGAGGGTGAAAGCATACCAGGAAATTTTCACAATGTTTCTTTTATCTTGTCATTCTTCCTTGTCTCTAAAGGTCTGCCATGGTGCGGTGCCTTGTGCCCCTAAGAACAATCTACAATTCATGAAGGCTCTAGCAGTACCTGGCCTGGACTCCATCAGGCAGTGCTGGCCCACCTCGGGCTGAGCAGCCATCAGCCCTGGTTACTGTCAGCAAAGCACAGCTTGGCGGCAGAGCTCCACAGACACAGCAGGGGTTTTACTGCACGCGCTGACTCCCAGGAGCCAGCAGTACTGACTTTTCAACGTGGGGCCACTCCACACAGCAGCTCTTAGACTGTAACGAAGAGTCTTTAAGTCTGGGCATCCCTTTGTACTGAAAGCTGACTGGAACTACCCAAGAACTACAAGAAAAACTGGACCTCTTTTGTAGGCATTTGAAGGAATATACAAAATATACCAAGTGCCGTGGCCTTTCTTTTTTAAGAGATCAATTCATACCTTGCTTTCTTAACAACAGGTTTGCAGGATGACCCCTAGCTACGTCTAGAAGCATCTTAACCAAACCACAGACAGCCGAGGGCAACAAGCAACTCACTAGGAAGATGTGGAATCCCAAGGCCAGTGAGCCGCCGGCGTTCTGCGTGCTTTACCCGAGTCAGCAATCACTGAAGACGTACCCACAACAACGCTACCGTCTTCAGGTTAGTGGCGGGCTGGAACTGGTTTTTTCATCTATGAATTACTAGAGCCCATTTTTTAAACTGGTTGAATGGTTTGTAACAGGAGAGGAAAGTGATCTGAGCTACAAAGATCTCTCCAAAAGGTATACTAACAACTATCATCTGGGAGTCTTGAGCTGAAAAATCAGAAGGGGTAGAAATACAAAATCAGAGAGGGGTGCATTCTGGGAAAGGAGTACACAGCTGTTCCGTACAGCCTGTGATCTGAATGGAAAAAAAGCCCAACCAAAGAAACCGCCAGCGCGGGCCCCCCTGCACTCAGATGCGTGCGTTTTCAGCTTCAGCAGTGTGACTGCATACATCCAGAGGCACTTCAAACGTTTTCACTGGCCACTTTGACTTGGGAATGAGGTTCTTGTGATAGTGACTTTCACAGTCCACAGATAATCCCGGAAATACCACGAGAGTAACCAGTCCATCTCGCTACGCAAACGCTGCGACGGCGAATAATGTCGCCATTAATACGCAGGATGACATTAGTTTAAAAGCTCTGACGCGCTGGGTTAACATTTGCTGTCAGTACAGGCTGATCTACGTCAGCCGGCCAGGGCAGTCCTTGTGGACTGTTAGCTGGAAGAACCGAGCCAGGAGACAGACATGGGCCGCGATCGTCCCAACAAAGCTGCCTGGCTGTGTGGCGGGGCGCCCTGCTCTGGCGTGAAGCAGCAATCACAATGCAGATGCCAAGAGGAAACGCTAATGCAGGCCAAGGCTCTTCTCTACCAGTGCTGCCGACCGGGCTTTTAGACGCAGACAGACACACATTCTTTTACCGCATACAGAGAAATGGGACACAAAGCACTGTACACGTTTATGTCAAGCTTGCTGCCCTCAGTTCCCCAAGTGTGAACGGACTTTGTCAGCTGTACACACGAGGAAGCAACACCTTCTTCAACTACACAGAAATGGTTAACTGCGTCACTAAAGGAAGTATTTTCAATTAATCTCAGCACTTCAGTGTCTGAAGGAGGACGAGGGAGGGAGGGGGAAGGGAGGAGACAGGGCGAGAACACACATCTGCGGGTGTCGTTTTTTTTCCCTCCCAAACCACCCAATATGGCCAACAATGATTTGCTTTGCTTTAAAAGTGTTAGATTTAGGAAATTTTCCTCAGTGAGGAACAAACAGAAAGCAGTAAGTCTAAACAAAAGCAAATTAAATCAAGACAAGGACATCAAAAACAGATTTGGCTTTACTTTTCGTGGATGTCGGTCCTATATCTAACACTGCACAAGGTTTCTTGCACAATGAAAAGAGAAGCAGAAGTCCCTTACACTGCCTCGCTTTGCCAGAGAATCACCGTAGTCTGCTGGCAAAGTCCGCTTGCTGGACTTTTTCTGCTCATGTTCAACTGCATCTTCAATTATAGGCTCAAGCCTCATCTGGACAAACACCAAAGATTGGGATCAATGTCTTTTCATTATACAAAGAAAGACCTAATACCTATTTCAGTCCCTGCAGTCCAGTTAAACAAATGCATGACCGGCAGGGTTCTGAGGGGAAGAGAACGCAACACCCCAGCAGTGACAGAAAGCAGACCTTCTAGGTCCCGACTTCATCTCTTGACAACTTCAAAGTTTTTAAGGTCTGTTTCTGAGACCTGATTTGGGATTTCAACATCTTCATTTAAGATCCCACCCAGGAGCTCACCTACGAAAACCCCCAAATTTAGATATTTCCCCACCCACTGCACCAAAAACCCTGTGTCTGTCTACCCCCACCGTCTTCCCCTAGCCCTCTGCAGCGACTCTTCCTGCAGGCCGCTGCTCATCTCCCACACCCACACGGCCCCTGCACGTTACCTCCGTGAGGATGGTGGTGTCGTAGGACGGCTGGTACTTCTCCTTCTCATGGGCAGCTCTCTTCTCCATCTTCTCTCGGTCGGTTTTTTGTTTCCTGTCTGCTCCCTTAGGCTTCAAACAAAGCAGGTTAATTCATCACCTGGCTGAAGACAGCACACAGATACACAAGGGAAACAAGGTCTGGTTTCCATCTCTTACCTTAAACACTTTGATTTGGCAGCTAGCTGAGTGCAGATGATCCGTGTATTCCCCATTCTCATTCTGCTTAAAGGTGTCAACCTGGATCCTAAAAGGCACTCCCTTTTCACCCCCGTGCTTCCGGGGAGTAAATTCTGTGCTGATGCAGTGCACCTGGAAAACAATTCCTACTGAAATGGATTCAAAGTACCTGCCATTGATTACCTTCTCTTTTTCCCCTCCCAGATGTCCTGCCACCACTATAAAGTCAAAATCCTTTAAAATGAACTCCTAAATATCAGCCAAGTATCTCTCTGCATCGTTTTTAACTTACATTGCTTTCCTTCACTACACACCTAGTTACCCTGTTACACAGTATGAGAAAATCCTCAACTAAGACAGACAAATGATGTCCAGTGATTATTAGCTGATAGGGGATAATATTTGATTGAGCACGAAAATGCAAAACACTAAAAGTTTTTTACAGTTCAAGCAAACTCTAGCCTACTAGGCTGGTCAGCAATTAAAAGGTTTTCCTTTTCTGTATAAAGATTACCTACTCAATAGCTTTAATGCCACCACTTACAAATTAGAACATATGAGGTATTAGAATTACTTTTTTTTTTTTTTTAGGTATAATGGTATTATAGTTACATTATAAGAGGAAGACCTGTAACGAGATGGACTGACACAGTGGCTTCAACAATGGGCTCAAGCATAACAATTGTGAGGATGGCGCTGGACCGGGCAGTGTTTTGTTCTGTTGTACACAGGGTTGCTATGAGTTGGAACTGACTTGATGGCACCTAACAACACCGACAACAGTTACATTTTTAAGAAGCTCGTCTCTTAGAGTTGCAAACTGAGTACCTAAGGATGAAATAATGTGTCCGGAATTTGCTTCAAAATATTCCAAAAACAACTAAAAGAAGGGCAAACTGCTGCTTTCATCAACTATAGAAGCCAAGTGAAGGGTACGCAGAGGGCTCATTATTATTATTCTCTTACTTTTGCTGGGTATAAAAATTTCACTAAATGGTTTTTCAAATACTGTTATAAAAAATTTTAAAACCTCAGGCTTTTTTCCAACCATATTCTTCTTTAAATGGCAGCTGTTGTTCACAAGAAATGTCTCCCATGAAAAAAGGGAAACTGTGATTGTTGTTACTACTGGTGGTACAATAGTACTTGACTAATGATTCACAGAACATGAGCGTCTCCATGCATGTTAGTTTACAGCATCACTGGGCTAGGAGATTCAACTCAATTTCATGGTGTATGTTTAAAAAAAAAGACATTACAAGAGAGGTTACACATAAGCATTTAAAGGAAATTAGCCATTAGGAATTCAATCCCATCCGTGGCCTTCTACATGACTAGGTTAATATACTTCTAAGGATGTAAAAATCCAAACCTGAATGAAAGCAGATGTACGTTTTGCAGGGTCCCACAGAAATTCAACCGCATTTAACTGGCTTGGATTTGTCCTTGTATCAATTATTCCCACAGACATTGGGATATCTACATTCAAAAAAAAAAAACAGTTACACTGCATGCGACAGATGGTGCCAATCGAGAATTAAAAGGTTTCAAACTCATAAAGTTCATGGCTCAGGTTCTTTTAGTACCAAAAAGCAACTTCACTTTTAATTACAAAACAACTCAAGTCACACGGGATCTGCTAATACCCAAACTCTCTCCATACCATGCCATGCGGTGCCAACACAATGGGGTAACAGCTCAACAACCGCAGTGCTACGTACCTAAGTCGAGAAGTCTGTCTCCCGGGCGGTTCCACTTCCAGCCTTCAAGCTGCTGATGCTCCGTGTACTGTAGCCGTCTGTCATGGAAAACGACTCGGATGATGCTCTACAGACAAGGGGGGAACGATCACTTTTAAACAGCGCTAGCTAGAAGCGCAGAAGCATCTTCGCTACTTATGCATTAACCTATAAAAGCACACACAAACAGAGTCGGCTTTAAATATTTCCTAAGTGAACTTTTCTGAAGTATCTGGCTCTTGGATGCCTCCATTATGGGTACAATTATTTGGTTCAAAGAATTTTAACTCAAAAATAAAAACAATAAATGAGATGGTTACCTATGTATAATTTTTACAAAAGAATTTGGTACTGTGATTAAAAATTAAGGTCTGTTCCCGTAAAAGTAGTGAGCAAAGAATTATATTTCACCCATGAAAGTAATGAGCGAAGACTTCTCTTTCTATGAAGAAAATGCCAAAAACATACGTGAATTGTTAAAAGGAAAAAGCAATTTATGAGAAGAGATAGGGAAACCCAGGCCCAATGGTCACATAAACTTCGTTAATTTAAAGTAACAATATGCTAACTGGACTTCTTTTAAACAGACAGTGTTCCTAAAATGACGAAACTGCTGTGGAAAACAGTTTGTTGGTTCCTCAAAAAGTTAGAATTACAGTATGACTCACCAATTCCACTTCCAGGTAGGTACTCAAAAGAACGGAAAACAAAGACTCAGCCAGACACTTGTACACCAATGTTCATAACAGGGAAAAACAAAAACCCATCACCACTGAGTCAATTCCGACTCACAGCAACCTTTTAGGACAGAGCAGAACTGCCCCATACGGCTTCCAAGGCCGCAATCTAACAAGGAAGTGGAGTGGCTGCTGGGTTCAAACCACCAACCTTTCAGTTAACAGCTGAGCGCTTTAACCACTGCACCACTGGGGCTCCTTCATAATAGGGAAACGGTAGAAAAAACGAAATGTACACCAACAGGTGAATGGATAAACAAACGTGGTATAGATACAGATATATACACACACACACCACACATACACCAAAATGAAATATACCATAGTCATAAAAAGAAACGAGGTTCTAATACATGCTGCGAAATGGTTGAACCTTGAAAACATTATGCTGAGGGAAATAAGCCAGACCCCAAAGGATGCGTCTTGTATGATTCCACTAATACAGAGTATATCAGAGGTTAACCGGCAGCACGGAGCTTCTGTCTGGGGCGCTGACAAAGTTTCAGTGGAGACAGTGGTGATGGTCACACAACACTGTGCAATGAAATGCACACTGAAAAATGGTCAATTTTATGGTATATGTATTTTACCACAATTAAAAAAAAAAAAAAAAGCCTCAAGAACTAAGTAAGTATTATTAATGAAGAAATAAAGAACGTTACATTTCAACAATAACAACAGCAAACAGAGTCGTTCTAGTAGCCAACTAAAAAATAAAAAACCTGCCCCCTCATCCCCAGAAAAAGAGAACCTATATGCAAAATTTACTCTCAACTATTTAACCTGCAACTGGAGTCAGCTGAGGGGTGTGTATGCGTGTGTGTGTGCGTGCACCAGTTCTCTGCTCTCCACCCATCCTTCCTTCACTCTGCACAGGTTCCGGGTGCCAACTACTACTTCATTCTCAACAAGACAGAGGGTCATCAAAACGTACTCAGATACCAGATTTGCACTAATCAGTGTTTCTGACTACAATGCAATAAGATGTGGATTCAAAAGCATCTCTGGGGGTTTTAACAGCAAATAATTTGTTAGCAATACACATAGCAGTCCTGCCTCCCCTTCCTCCAAAATGCTGTTCAAAACACAGTAAATATTTTGAGGAGAACAACTGAAAAGTAGCAATGTACTTTTTGAAGTGGTTAAAAAAAAAAAAAAAAGCGGCCACATCAGTCGTTAGGGCCCACGTGGGGAAGTCCACGGGGCCCAGTTCCCATCCACCCATCCCCATTCTCCCCACCCGCACCCACATCTGCAGGACCTTCCCAGGCAATGTGTCCACAGGGCCCAGTTCCCATCCATCCATCCCCATCCTCCCCACGTGCACCCACGTCTGCAGGGCCGTCCCAGGGAAAGCACCAGCATGTACTTCACACCACCCTTCTGGCAGCAGAGCCCTCAGTGATGCTGTGTGGCCTGCTGTGGCCCCTGGGACGCCTACACCAGAGGTTCACGTTCTCCAACATGCTGGTCTCGCAGAACAAAGTGCAGCACAGAAAACGTCATGATTTTGGTTCTTCCATGTTCAGCAAGAACCAGACTAAATCCACACGTTCAAAGAAAAATAATTTGAGAATACGGACATTAGATTTAAGAGTTCTACTAAGCCCCATCCTAGAAGGTCAGACTTGCCCTCTAAGGGAATGTACCAACCCCAGCTGCCTGGGCACAGGCACAACAGACTCCAGGTACAGAGAGCCAACGTGGGAATGGGCTACAAACTTCTCTCCTTCCACCCCAAATATGTGGGGGGCCCCTGGAGTCAGAAGGGGAAATCTAAGAGCTCGCTTGGGCTGGCAAGACAATGATTCAGATGGGACCAGGTCCCCCCATCTTTCCCTCACAGAGGGGAAACACCCAAGCTCAGCCTCCCATAGGAATGGGGACTCCCTGCCCGCAGCATTGAGAGACTACAGCATCCCAAAGGCTCTCAGCCTCCAAGTGCTGGGCAGCTGGCTTTCCCGAAAACCCTAGTTATCAGCTAGCACCCCCAAGTGAGAATGCCGCAACCAAGCAGCTGAGTATCCACCCCCCTCGCCAAGGCTGCCTTTCCCTGCTTGCCTCTAAGACAGCAGATCCACAGGAAGGGGGGGTCCCTCCAAAGGGATGCATCCCCACATGGGCCCCAATACACCTTTCTGAGGAGGATGAAGGACCAGGGTAACTGTCTACGCCTCACCTGCAAACACTTCACTATATGAAATTTCACCTTTACCCAGAAAACTGTCTTTCGCACATTTTGCCCTGTAACGCCGTGGAATTTATAACGAACTCTGGTGTATGAGAGGTAGAGGCCAGAAGGACCCACCCTGCATGACACTGAAGGGGGGCAGGAAGGGTTTGACGCGTATGCTAAAAGGACAGCTGTCTAGCCAATGGCTATGCCTCCTACATCTGGGATGACCTACTTCTTTCAGATACACTAAGAGGGTAAACAGACCTTTTTCTACTTAAAAGAAACTGCAAGAGATGAAATAAAAGCATTTTTTAAAAGTTTTATATTTAACACTCACATCTTTCCCCAAACTACCTTGTACTCTGATACAAGAGAATGTGACTTGGATGGTGGTTTTGCTGCTGTTGTTTTTGCATAACTCCAACTAATTTTTCTATGGTTCCTTCTTCTCCAAAGGGCTTTCACATTTACTTCACTCGGTAACTGCTGTAATTCCCATTGTACAGATGAATAAAAAAAAAAAAATATAGCTCAGAAAGTCAGGAGTTTTTAACAGGAACACAACAGAGAGTCCCTGACAGAGCAGGAGAAAAGTGGGGTGCAAAACTCAAATTCTAGTAAAAAGACCAGACTTAATGATTTGGCTGAGACTGGCAGGGCCCTGGAAAACATGGTCCCCAAACTCTGTTAGCCCCAAACTAAAACCATTCTGAGGCCAACTCTTCAGACAGATTAGACTGGACTGTGGGACATAAAATGATACTCGTGAAGAGTGTGCTTCTTAGCTCAAGTAGATACGTGAGACCAAACAAGCAGCTTCTGTCCAGAGGTGAGATGAGAAGGCAGAGAGGGTCAGGAACTGGTTGGACATGGAAAATCGGGTGGAAAGGAGGAGTGTGCTGTCACAGTATAGGGAGAGCAATTAGGGTCACATGACAATGCATGTCTAAATTTTTGTATGAGAAACTAACTTAAATAGTTAACTTTCACTTAAAGCACAATAAAAAATAAAAAAAAGAAAGTCAGGAGTTTTAATACAGCCAGTACCTCTAAAAGTGAAATTAACTTTTTTTACTAAAAACTCTTGCAGCAAAACTGCCACCTTATTCAATCACTGCAGTATTTGCTAGGAGTTAAAATGAACTGCCCTTACCTTTACCAATTTTCCACTAATCTCAGGCATATCTCCCATTTTCCGGTTATCCAGCATCCGAATTTCGTAAGACTGACCTATTTAAAGAAACTGTGCATTATAAACAGTCCATCTAAAGAATGTCGCTTTGGTTCACAGAAAAATCTGACGTTCTCTCAGAACATACAATGACATACAATGTTAATTTGTCAGGGAAGCAAATTCAAGTTGATCCTTTCTCATCCCTGCAAATCACACCATCCTTTCCTTCCTACAGAATTAGTTTCTCTGCCAGTTTATTTTCATCTGCTACTCTCTCACACGAAATGTTTATTATGCGTGCATGCATCGTCTCCAAAGCCAATCTGTAATAACAGCTTTATTAAGACATAATTTACATATCATAAAATTCACCATTTTAAAGTGTATAATTCAGTGGTTTTTAGTATATTCACAGAGTTTTACAACCATCACCACAATCAATTTTAGAACGTTTTCATCACCCTAGAAAGAAACACTGTGCCCCTCAGCAGTCACTCCCACCCCTTCCACCACCAGGCCACTGTGTGTCTCTGGGGGCTGCCAGCTCCAGACATGTCACGTAATGGAACCATACGCTCTGTGGCCTTTTCTAACTGGCTTCTTTCGCTTAGCATGACATTTCCAAGGTTCATCTATGTTGCTGCATGTATCAGAACTTCATTCCTTTTTATCGCCGAATACGACTCCACTGTGTGGATGTAACACATTTTGTTTATCTATTCATTAACTGATGGATATCTGAGCTGTTGCCACTTCTTGGCTATTATGAATAACGATGCTAATCAACATTTGTATACAGGTTTTTGTGTGGACCAAGGCCAATTTTTAATCCTGGAGTCTTCTCCCCTATATCCAATGGACACCAAGACACATTTTCCCACTACTCAATTACAGTGTCTTTAAGAAAACACAAATAGATACTCACATACCAATCTACATAACTAGGGAGATAAACTGCTACTAAAAATTAATAATGTACTCCACATCCCCAAAAATGATTTCTGGATTACCTGTCATTAAGTAATAAAAATGACAACATAATTTGGTACACAGAAAATCAGTAAGCATTAAAGAGTGCTTCTGGTACCACATGAAGTTGTAGCTCTTAATGATACAACTACCAGTATCCTGTCCACATTCCCTTGGGGCTCACAAAAAATATACACAGGGTTCTAGATTATAGGGTCAAAATACAAATAGGGGTTATCAAAATACAACCAAATCACTTCAAAGTTGGTGAAGGAAAACAAGTACATGATAGTATGTTACAATGGAATATTTCTTAAATTCATTCAACAGATTGACAATAAAAACACCTTTATGGCAAGAGACATTTAGGAAGTTACTACAGTTTTCACAACGCACACACGCTATGTCAGAACTGTTGGCGCGTTATTTACGCGGGTGAGTTACATGTGAAAAAATACGGCAAACCAAAACATAGATTGGAAGATATCTGCTGCATATTTAACAATGGATCTGAATTCAGAACAGTCAATAAGAAATACTTTTTAAAATAAAACATACGAAGAGAGATTTTATTGAAAATCACACCATAAGACACATTTAAAATTGCACTCAAACTCCTAAGAAATTAGGAAATAAAAATTAACAAAATGTTTGCGCTGATTATCAGATCAACAAAAAAAGTTTAATGAATAAAAGTCAGGTGGACAAAGACACAGGAGAAATAAGGAATGGAAACTGATAAAAGTCTTGCCGGAAAACAATCTGGCTGCACCTGTCAGGTTAACTGCTATATCCTTTGACTCAGGGATTCTGAATAGAGAAAATAAACACAAAAAAGGCGAGAGCGGGTATATCTGCAACACACGTTACATACAGACGGCTAATCCCCCTAACACAGAAAGAGCTGGTAAAAAATCACTAACAAATGTCCGACAGCCCAGAGCAAAAAATGGGCAAATGACGTAACACAGGGTTCGCCAAAAAAAAAGGAAACGACAACAGCTCTCAAGCATGTTAAAAGGCACCAACCTCCACCAGAGAGACGCAAATTAAAACCACCCTGAGATCATGCTTCTCCTGTCAGAGCAGGATAACTCTCTCCGAGTTGTCGTGACTGACATATACTCTCATATACTGACGAGGAGGGGAGATGGTAAGAAGTATTTTCTGGTGTACAGGATGTCAAGGGGAGAAGAAACAAGAGTTAAGAATTAATACATATTTCTGGCCAAAGAAATGGAAGAACAGTTGCCATTTCCTGAGATGGGGAAGATCACAAGGAGTAGATCTGAGGGAGAAAATCACAAGTTCAACTGAACACACTAAGTCGGAGAAAACTACTGGCCAGCTATGTCAACAACAATCAAGCTGATTTACAAACTGGGGCTGAGAGGAAGAGAACCAGGTTGGAGATATCAATCAAGGACTTGTCAGGGTACAGTGGTTAGGTAAAGCCACTGCAGACAGGCCCACCCGAGAGTGAGTACAGACAGAGAGAAGAGGGCCAAGGACTAGCCCTGGGGGGCATGGCTGAAAGCTGCCAGTGAGATGGGAGGTGGACTAAGTGCACAGCACCCTGCCAACAAGGAGGAGAAATTCATCTCAACAGGGTTATCTTGCGATCCTGGAACTCAAAACTTCCTGGGAATGAAAAAATCAAATAAAGGAAGAAATCTCAATTCTTTATCTTCTTTTGCATTGTCTTTCCTGGTCAACCTAACGAGGAAATGTCTATGCTCAGTATAAAGTTCAATCTATTTCCACAAATGGACCTTAAGACTTACTGCTCTTGTATTCTACATTTTTAGTAGTCCGAAATCAAAAACAGGTTTTTAAAAAGGGCTCTACAGCACTTTGTCAGGCTTCATGCTTCAGACGTTTCCCCTATCATTCAAGATGTAAACTTACAATGAAAGAAACTGGACGTCTCAGTCTTTTTATTTCTTGAAGTTTATCACAACTTGCTCATGATTTAGAAATCCCTCTCCACCGACAAACGTCTCCAATGGCAAGGACCACTGAGGAAACTACCAGACTTAGACAGGTTAATTTACTCTATTTGGATCGCCCCCTCCATATTTTTCAGTAACGTAGCTTCCTGCAATATTAGTTTATGTTTTAACTGAAATATAAAGAATGTTCCACTATTAATGAAACACACAGTTAGCATAGTCAAGGAGCAATACTCTATGACTTGTTAATCCTATTTTTAGCTTTATCTTCTGAATTTATCTTTCAGGGTTCTCCTTCTCCCTCCATTTTTGGCTTAGAAACGCAAAAACACTGCCAGAGTTGAAAAATACAACTGCTGTGAGTCATGTCCCCCTCACCCTTGAAGGTACAGACTTTTCAATCTAGCTTCCTCAGATGACTCAAGAGCAACATGGAGCCCAAGATGTGACAGCGTGGCTAAGTTCAAAGCGCTTGTTGTTAGCTGCTGTTGAGCTGGCTTCAACTCATGGCGACCTTAAGCATAACGGAACGTAAGGCTGCATGGTCTGTGCCATCTTCATGATTGTTGGTATGTCTGAGTTCACTGTTACAGCTATTGTGTCAAGCTATCTCACTGAGGGTTTCCCTCATTTTCACTGACCCTCTACTTTACCAACCAGGATATCCTTTTCTAGCAATTGATCTTTCCCAATGATGTCTCGCCATCCTTGCTTCTAAAGAGACTTCTGGTTGTTATTTCTTCTAAGACTGATTTGTTCCTTCTTCTGGCAGTCCACAGTATATTCAATAATCTTCACCAACGTTACAATTCAAACGCATCAATTCTTTTGTCCTTTTTCATTGTCCAGCTTTCGCATGCATACGAGGCAACTGAAAAGACCATGGCTTGAGTCAGGTGCACCTTAGTCCTGAAAGTAACTCTCTGCTTCTGAACACTGTAAAGAGGCCTACTGCAGCAGACTGTCCCGGCACAATATGCCATTTGATTTCCTGACTGCTGCTCCCACGGATGTGGATAGCTGATCCAACAGAATGAAATCACTGACAACAACGAAATTGATGTTATCCATGATTTTTCAAAGTGTCAGAAACCTTATAATAAGAACCAAAGGAAATCTACCATGGTATAAAGTGGAACTAACCTAAAATGTCCTTTTTCTTTTCAGAAGCATGTATCATGCATCACAATTTTTAATCCAATAAACATGCTATTTCCTGAGGCTTAAAACCTGCTTGTAAAGTAGATAACACTGGTTAACTAATACTCTTAGAAGAGGAATCTCCAAGGAGAATTCTGCCTCCAAGTGAACAAATACTTTGAGAGAAACTAGAAGGAAAAGTTTTTATTTGCAGAGGTAACTCTGATCTGGCAGCAGCAACAATGAGCCCATCTGGAATAAATCAAGGGGTTCAGATCACAAGTCTCCCTCACATCACAAGGTGTGGAAGCAACAAAGATTCGGTCCCAGCTTTAAGACAGGGGCCACCTACTGCAGCCAGATCCCTGTGCAACGGGAGAGCCAGCTGTGGGTACTCCACCCTCCGGTGGCTCCATGCTGGGACTGCAGCTTTTCACACCACAGCCAGAGGCAGAGACTTCACTCCTCTCCTTATCTAAGAGCAGAGGGGAAAGCTGCTTAGGACAGACCAGGCCAACACAAACACAGCTTTTAAACTCCGCTCAAAATGATAGAGAAATTGACACGCTAATGCATGGATACAACTTGGAAAATCTGTTCCAATTTCTACCTAATATAGTTAGACAACACAGAATTTCCTCATTTCCTTTTGATGGTACACAAAGGCAAATATCCTTTAGCAACAACTGCCCAGAAGTAGAAGATGAGGTGCACTGAGGGGAGGCTTCTAACGGTGACCAGCCCCAGCCAGAGAATGGCATTCAGTCCCCAACTACGTGCCAACCCTCCTTTGAGGAAATCTATCTGTATAAGGTGGTGGTGAGGGGAAGCCCACATACGCTCCCTGAATATTCAAGGTAATAAAGCATGGTCTTTGGACCGGCAGCACCTGGAAACTGGTCAGATATGCACATTCTCAGGCCTAAACCCAGACTTACTGAACCCAAAATTCTACGGGACTTCCAGGTGGTTCTGATGCCACGGCTCTGTGTGAAGCTACAAACATCCAGCCGGTCAATTCTCTTTCTGAAACACCGTGTTCAGGACCTGCTCCTGGGAAAAGTTCTGATGTCACCCTCTGCTTAATCTTTTCCCAATTTTTTGAGCATCACGGCTTTGCAATCCTGTAATGTGTGTGTGTTTGTGTATCTTTTAGCTCTTCTCCCATTATAATATCACATACTTGTCTCTTCCACTAATCATGAGCTCCCTGTCACCACCAGCTCCTAGAACTGGACCCAAACACACGCTCCACAACTCTGCAAAGTGAATGCTGGGACAGAGACTGGAAGCGGGGCAGAGGGAGACTGCTAGGGGCTGACGATGTTGCACACAGGTAGGAACATTTAAATGTAAAAATACACCGAGATGTACACTTAAGACTTCGATGCACTCTACTGAACTGAATACATGTCAATTTTTTTTTAAATATCTAAGCTTCCCAAATTGACACTAAGCAAGTTAACGAACTACTGTAAGCCTCAGTTTTTTAACCTGTAAAATAGATTACTAAGCCTCTCCTAGGGCTACTGTGCGCACTAAGTAAGATAACTCATGTATTAACACACGCATCATACACAGTAAGCACTCCATAAACGTCAGTCCAATATCATCTTTGTAGACGGTGGATTGCAATGTTTATCAATATGAAATATCATTATCCTGTTTAATAATGAGAACGATAAAATTATGGGCACCCCCTCGCCCGAGGCCAACAGACAGACAAATCCAGGGCACTCCTTTACATAGGTTATGGGTGTGTATGTGTCTATACCATGGTATGTAGGTAACAGAATGTATTCAGCTATCCTCCAACTAAGGGAATTTTGGGTCCTTTCCATTTTATCATTAGAAATAAAGCTACAGTGAATATCCTTGCCCCACACTGTTTCTTCTGATATTTTTAAGTTTAAGATAAATTACTACATAAATTCTTAAAAGTTCTTTCACATATGAAACTCACGTCTCAAATAACTGAATGTCTATTAAACAAATATTAAATCAATGTCAAAACAGAAGTGAGGGTTTTGTCACAGGTACTACATACAGAATACAATTATCTGATGTAAATCTCATTGAGCCTACATTTATACATTAAAAGAAAAGCTGGACAAAGCTATTCTTCCACATTTCAGAATATTACTAGGAGTTATTGTTGTTAGATGTCATTGAGTAGGTCCCGACTCATAGCAACCCTATGCATAACAGAACAAAACACTGCCCCGTCCTGTACCACCCTCACAATAGTTGCTATGCTTCAGCTCACTGTTGCAGCCACTGTGTCAATCTATCTCATTGAGGGTGTCCCTCTTTCTCTGACCCTCTACTTTACCAAGCATGATGTCCTTTTCCAGGGACTGGTCCCTCCTGATGACATATCCCAAGTACATGAGGTGACATCTCACCATCCTCACTTCTAAGGAGCATCCTGACTGTACTTCTTCCAACAAAGATTTGTTCCTCTGGCTGTCCACGGTATAGTCAATATTCTTCGCCCGCAACATAATTCCAACGCATCAGCTCTTCTTTGGTTTTCCTTATTCACTGTCCAGCTTCCGCATGTATATGAGGTGACTAAAAATACTGTGGCTTGGGGCTGGTGCATCTTAGTCCTCAAACTGACATCTTTGCTTTTTAACACTTTAAAGAAGTCTTTTGCAGCAGATTTGCCCAAGGCAGTGCGTCATTTGACTTTCTGACTGCTGCTACTATGGGCGCAGATTGTGGATCCAAGTAAAATGAAATCCTTCACAACTTCACTCTTTTCGCCGTTTATCATGATGCTGCTTACTGGTCCAGTTGTGAGAATTTTTGTTTTCTTTATGTTAAGGTGTAATCCATACCGAAGACTGTAGCCTTTGATCTTCATCAGTAAGCGCTTCAAGTCCTCTTCACTTTCAAGAAGCAAGGTTGTGTCATCTGCGTATCACAGGTCGTTGATGAGTCTTCCTCCAATCCTGATGCCGCGTTCTTCCTCATATAGTTCAGCTTCTCGGATTATTTGCTCAGCATATAGATTGCATAAGTATGGTGAAAGGATACAACCTTGACACATACCTTTCCTAACTTTAAATCATGCAGCATCCCTGTTGTGTTTGAACCACTGCCTCTTGATCTACATACAGGTTCTGCGTGAACACAATTAAGTGTTCTGGAATTCCCATTCTTCCCAATGTTATTCATAATTTTTTATGATCCACACAGTCGGATGCCTTTGCATAGTTAATGAAACACAGGTAAACATCTTTCTAGTATTCTCCGCTTTTAGCCAAGATCCATCTGACATCAGCAATGAAATCCCTTGTTCCACGTCCTCCTCTGAATCTGGCTTGAATTTCTGGCAGTTTCCTGTTGATGTACTGCTGCAACCATTTCTGGATTATCTTCAGCATAATTTTACTTGCATGTGATATTAATGGTATTGTTTGATAATTTCCACATTCCACTGGATCACCTTTCTTTGGAATGGGCACAAATACGGACCTCTTCCAGCTGGTTAGCCAGGTAGCTGACTTCCAAATTTCTTGGCATAGATGAGTGAGCACTTCTAGCACTGCATCCGTTTGTTGAAACATCTCAGTTGATATTCCATCCATTCCTGGAGCCTTGTTTTTTGCCAATGCTTTCAGTACAGCTTGGACACCTTCCTTCAGTACCATCGGTTCTTGATCATATGCTACCTCCTGAAATGGCTGAATGTCAACCAATTCTTTTCAGTACAGTGAGTCTGTGTATTCCATCTTCTTTTGATGCTTCCTGTGTCATTCAGTTTTTTGCCCACAGAATCCTTCAATATTGCAACTCAAGGCTTGAATTTTTTCTTCAGTTCTTTCAGCTTGAGAAACGCCAAGCGTGTCTTCTCTTTTGGTTTTCTATCTCCAGCTCTCTGCACATGTTCTTATAATACTTTACTTTGTCTTCTTGAGCTGCCCTTTGAAATCTTCTGTTCAGCTCTTTTACTTCATCATTTCTTCCTTTTGCTTTAGCTACTCTACATTCAAGAGCAACTTTCACAGTGTCTTCTGACATCCATTTTGGTCTTTTCAATGACCTCTTGCTTTCTTCACGTATGATGTCCTTGATGTCATCCCACAACTGACCTGGTCTTTGGTCAGTCCCTAGGAGTAAACAGTCTAAATCCGACAGACAGCTCTTTCCAAAAAAGTTCAAGAAACTGAAGATTCTATTTAATGACATAAAAATGACTGCAATAAAATCTTAAGTGAATAGATGTATAACTGCAATTTTGTTTTAAAAAAAAATATATGCAGAGAAATATATCAAAAATGTCAACTACAGTTATCTTGGTGGGATGCAAGTGCAATCAGTTTTCAGCTTGATCCCTTCACATATTTCCCAATATTTCTACAATGGGCATGCACTATTTGTATAACAAAAATGTTTAAAATTTTAAAATATAAGAATTCAACATGCTTTCAATACATGTATCCAACAAATTAATTCCTGCTTATTTAAGTACTTTTGTTTACACTGGTAAGTCACATTGGCTTGTTCCCAAACTGTTAAGAGCACCCCAAAAAATTCCTTATATCTTGCCATGGTAAACTTTACCTCTCCATCTGTTTTCCATATTGCCCATTCACACTTTTGTATCACCAAAACATAACACTTGGACATAAAATATAAATAAGATGTGGGCAGATTAAATTTGAAACAGTGTATTTAGTCACAGAATACATCTTGATGTAATTTATGTGTATTTTCAGCACAAACCTGCTTCCTCTCTGAGACCAGGTTCCTTGCTGGCTGGACTTCAGGTTCCATCTCAGAACCACTGACACCCTTTTCTACTTGCTCACCTTTAGATTTTTTCTGAAAAACCCTGTAAGAAATCTTGCTCCACAGACTCTCCTTATGCAAATCAGTTTCCACAAGCTACTATTCTGCTGGCTCTCAGTAAAATGCCTATAATTTTCATTAATTAAAGTCGTAAAATTTAAGGAAAAGTAAAACGAATTTTGAATTATTATCAGTAACCTATGCTAGCATGCCAAAAACATTTACTCTGAAATTTGTAAATTCTTATCCGTCAAAATGTGATCTAGGTACACTCACCTTGGTTCAAGTAAGTAAGCGTTTCATCATGCAGTTTTACTGCCGGTGATGTCGCAGCACACATGACATACTGAAAGGGTGGGTGTTCAGTTTCACCATCCAACGGAAGGCTGGAATCTTCCTGCTTGAAAATGGGTAATGCCAACACATCGCTGAAAAGCAAAAAAATCAACACTGACCTTACTGTGAGTTATTAACAAGTAAGAGCATATAAAAATATTTGTAATTTCTTTTAAAAATTTAGATATGATATGTAGAATAAAAGAATTAGTAATGCTAATGTGGTTAACCCAAAAGACAGTAATATTACTAACCCATATTTCATTGGGAGGAGGGTGGCAAGAGGCAGCTGTAATTAGGCAGAGAAACTCAGAGGCAGGTGATAGTTAACAAAGTCCATGCTGCTGATTAGCAGACCAGGTTCACAATGCCTACGGTATTATTTTTAAGCTACTTTAAAACCTTCTTTGAACACTTTACACTCCAGATTATTTCCGGACCAAGTCAGAAAGTGTGTTCCCACCTGTTTTGAAAGGTGGGAACTATTACTGCTGTCAAAGGTAATCACACTGGGACCACAGAGTTCCAAGGAAGCACATGATTAAAATGACCCCTTGTGAAAAGTTCCCTGCTCAGCCAGGCAAGTACTGATAGCATTAGCTTCCTGCTTCATCTAAAACAAAGGCTGCTTCTCAGAGGCTAACAGTAGCAGTAAAAGCAGCTGCTGTTCTTCCCACAAGAATAACTTGGGGCACTGACTGGGAGGGGCATGAGGGTGGGCCTTCTAGGGCGCTGTCTATGGTCTCTGTTAATTAGGGTGGTGGTTATACGAGTGTGTTTGGGTATTTTTTTTTTTTTTTTGATCTTTTTAACAGCGTCACTGAGACATAACTCACATACAATTCACCCTTTTAAACTGTACAATTTAAGTGGTTTTTAGTATATTCACATAGCTGTGCGACCATTACACTAAGTCCAGAACGCTTTCATCACCCCAAAAAGAAACTGTGCATCCAGTAACAGTCACTCCCCATTGTCCCCTCCCCCTAGTCCCTACAACCACTAATCTTTCTGTCTCTGTAGATTCGCCTATTCTCAACAGCTCACATCAGTGCAATCATACAACACGTGGCCTTTTATAAACGACTTCCTTCACTCAGCACGTTTTCAAGGTTCATCCATGTCATGGCAAGGATCAGCACTTCATTCCTCTTTATAGTCAAATAATATTTCATAGGATGAATAGAACACATTTTGTTTATCCATTCATCATTTGATGGACATTTGGGTTGTTTCCACTTTTTGGCTGTTCTGAATAATGATACTATAACATTTCTGGGCAAGTTTTTACGTGAGCATGTGTTTCCCGTTTTCCTGGGTGTACACCTGGGGCGTAATTGCTGGGTCCCGTGCTAACTGTTTAACTTTCCGAGGAACTGCCAAACTGGTGACCCAAGCGGTTGCACCATTTCACATTCCTGCCAGTACTGTTTGAGGGTGTTTCTCATCTGTGTTTACACTTCAACAAAAAGTAAAATAGTAACAACAAAATAACCAAATAAAAAACTACTATATCAACACCAAGGGCGGAGGCATCTTTAACTTGCTTATTTTTTCCTTTCTTTTTCTACAAGCTGCTGACCAACTCATATGTTTGGCTAGCCCATTTTAATTAAGTTCAATTTAAAACCAAAATGTGGAAAACACATGAAATGGGAGAAAAACCCTGGCCGGGAACATTGTCCCTACCTGCATTCCTCTTCCCCACACATTTCTATTAAAGCACTGGACTCACAATCCAAAGAGACTAAGCTGCACTAGTTCTCCTCCTTCTGCTTTCTCAATATTATCAAAGCACTCCTAAGTATATACCTAAGTGTAACAGAGAACCATATAGTCAAGGGTGGTCCCCAACCCACCTAGAGTTCTCAACACTGAACTAGAGGTTTTGTCCCACCTAAGTTTCTGCCTTTGAGGCAGACGTTAAAACTTTCAGGAGACTTCAAATGGGACTTTAAGACTCAGGACAGCTCTCTTCATGAAAAACATCTGTAAAAGTCAAAATGGCTCCGAGGTAGATGAAGAAAAAAACAAACTTCAGTCATACAGATATAAGCATTTAAAGACCTTTCAGGGAGAAAGAAAGAATGAGATGAAACCTACGACTCGAAGACATCAACTTATCCTGACAATCAAAATACTGGAATAACTTAAGATTCCAATGCTAATGGCCTGGATTAATCATCAGATACAAATCATCAAAATAGGACATAAGGCTGCATAAGAATGACTATTACAAAATGAACTGTCACATATGAAAAACAAAATTTTACATGCTTTAGATTCTAGAAGATAACCACAGTCTTATTCACTTGGTTACAGTCTCAATGATCCATACAGGAAATACTATGCTCACAAAAAAACCAAGGACCCATTGCTGTCAAGTCTATTCCAACTCATAGCGACCCTACAGAACAGAGTAGAACTGCCCCATAGAGTTTCCAAGGAGCAGGTGGTGGATTTGAACTTTCGACCTCTTGGTTAGCAGCCGAGCTCTTAACTATCATGCTACCAGGGCTCCCTGCTCATGATAGTGCAAACTGTGCACTGAACAAGCTTTGCATATAAACACCTAAAAACTTCAGGCTAATTTTTTACTGAATTAGAACATACACTCCATCAATACAGCAACCAGAGTGATCCTTTTCAAACAAAAGTAACATCATTTCACTCCTCTGCATCCTCCACTGGCTCTCCTCCTACCAGAGTCTTTACAAAGTCCTGCAAGAAGGCCCTAGCCAATCTGCTCCTCAGCCCTCTCCCTCATTCCTTCTGGCCCAGCCACACCAGTCTCCTTACATGGTTCACCTCTGGGCCTTTGCACTGGCTCTTCTCTCTGCCTCCAGTACTCTTCTGCTAGATGTCTTCATGGCTCATTTCATTCAAATTTCACCTCTTTAGCGAGGTCTTAACAACTCGTCCGCCCACCCGTACTCCCAATTCCCGTTAGCCTGCTCTATTTATCCACAGCTCTTGTCACTTTCCAACCTTTGACATGACTAAGTTTGTCTCCCCCATAGGTATGCACCCACTCCTCACCTACCATCTCGTTACCTGACATTTCACATTTACGACAATAGTAAACAATCTACTCTATTTTGTGCATTAACAACACACATCCGGCAGTAACAAACGCCGAGGCGCAAGGTGAGATTAATGCTGGCTGTGATGGTTAAGGTTACGTGTCAACTTGGCTGGGCCCGATTCTCATGAAAGGAAATGGAAAACCCAGGGCAAAAATAGGAAGACTGCTGACACATTGTGGGGAATGCAACCAATGTCATGCAATACTTTTATGTAAAAACTACTGAACGAGAAACTAATTTACTCTGTAAACTTTCACCTAAAGGATAATAAAAAAATTAAAAAAAAAAATTACTAGGAAGTCACTACAGCCTTGATCCTGTGATACACCAAACTCATGGCCACAAAATACGTTAAACTAAATGATGTATTTTATAATGCAAAACTGAAAGATCTACACGTGGCAAATTTTAAGAGACAATAAAATTAAGCAAAAGATCAGGACACTACAGAATACTTAAGGAGGACTGGTGGCGCAATGGCTTAGCACTCAGCTGTTAACCCATAAGTTGATGGTTCGAACACACCAGCAGCTCCATAGCGAAAAGACCGGGCAATCTGCTCCTATAAATATTTCAGCCTAGGAAACCCTAGGCGGTAGTTCTACTCTGTCCTGTAGGGTTGCTATGAGTTGACAGCACCTAACGACGACAACAACAATGTAGCCGACTTTAAAACCACAAGCTTGATCAAATAGATATACTATTAAAAAACACCTCTGATCCTGGCAAATAGAGAATATAATATTTCCTCAAATACATACGGGATGTGGACAAACTACCATGAAAAAGACCACAAAGGAAACTGACAAGCAGCCAAAAATCCCCTCCATGCAGACTGTGCTCCCAGACCACATGCAATAAATTAAAAATCAGTGACAACAGATTATCACTGTAAAGACACGTGAGAATCCAGTGGTATAAGCTGCCCTCAGGGAGGACAACTGAGTGGCTGGGAGACACCAGTGCGAGGGGGAAATGTCAATGTACACCTTCTCAAAGCTTTTGCGCTTATATAAATGTATTAGCTATTCAAAAAAATTAAAATTTGAATTACTCTCAATGACAGAAAAATTGCTAAAACATTTGGAAGCTAAATGAAAATTCTCAACAATTCAAGAGACCAAGAAAAAATCAAGATGGAAGTAACAATACGGAGAGAACTGAATGGATGTTCAGTAATGGCTTTGCCAACGGTGTTAGCTGCTGTGGAATCGATTCTGACTCATGGAGACCCCACATATGTAGAGTACAACTCCTCCAAAGGGTTTTCAAGGCTGTGACCTTTCAGAAGCAAATCACCAGGCCTGTCTTCCAAGGCGCCTCTGGGTGGGTTCGAACCACCAACCTTTCAGCTAGTAGCCGAGCACTTAACCGTTTGTGCCACCCAGGGACTCCTCAGCAACGGCAAGCTCCACTCTACCCCACTAAGAACAAGTAGGAAAAAAAAAGCTGCAATATAGACAGACATGTATTCTTAAAAGAATGGAAGCTCTAACAAGATAATTAGGAAACACGACATTAAAATCTGAGAGAAAGCAGTAACTAAAGAGGAGCAAGCCTAGAATTCAAAGTGGCTTTTGCCTGACGGCACCTACCCAACCTGAGAAAAGAACTGCAAAACTGCATTGTGATTCTGGTAGCCTCAAGGGTCAAGGATACCCTCCACCCACATTAAACTGGGATGGAAAGGGCTAAGCGTCCAGGTGAAAGTGAAGAAAAAGTAAGCAATCCTTAGCATGGATTTTCAGTACCAGTTAGCTTCTCCAGGGTGGTCCAGGGAATCTTAACCTTGAATTTGGGCAAAGGCGGTCCCACATGGTAGAGCCCAATGGGTCTGAGAAACAAAAAGCCTGAGGCTTCAAAGTATTCCAAGTAATTTTTCAAACGCCAGTACCCAGAAATAACCAGGCACACAAGGACAAACAAGACTCCAGGGGCAGGAATCATCAGCAAAAACAACAGATGGCATCCACCAAGTTCCAGATTGTGTCTGTTGGTATTCGGCT